TTCTTTTCTGGAAAAGGCACCGTACATTGAATTCATTCGAGTCGTACATATTATACACATACGGGCGTATATTGTAGCCAGTGCACGAGTTCATTCAATTAATTACTTTAAAAAGTTACATGAAATCGGGTGGCAGTCAGGACTCAAGCAAGTTGCACTGAACAAGAGTGCAAACCGAGGAAGACATCAAGTTTTTTCTATAGCTGATAGACATGGATAATTGCCTTAACAAACTTCCCCCCTCAAGAATTAGTTGCTTAGTGAAATGTTTCTACTTGGTACTCATTTATCTCAAATTCTAATCTAGGTGGACAGATAGATATAATTTCATGAAATATTCCATAAAACTATAAATTCAAAATGCGTAGATAAAGAGCAGCATTGTACTGATATTTGATTAAATTTTCAAACCTAACCTGCCTGCATAAAGAGATGTTTAAAATGACAACTCACGGCACTTCAATATAAATGAACTAAATTTATAAAGTAGCATAGCTTTTGTAACTGAACAATTATCTACGGATATGACACGTAAAATTTTAAAAAAGTAGGACACAGGTACGACGTGAACATGGCTACATATAAATATAAATTTTTATTTTTATACATATATTCAGTAATAGTATTATAAAATTTTAATTTATTTATAATTTTTATACTAATAGTTGTTATAAAATGAATTAGAAAATGAAATTATGTCATTATTGTAATGATTTTTATACGATATATATCACTATTTTGTTATGATAGTATTCATATTATTTTCAAAATTAGTAGGTAGACTTATGTTAGAAATGTCTGAGAAGTGTTGACCAAGTATCCGAAAAGTATCAACGCAGTATGGAAAGTGTCAGTAAAGTGTCTGAAATAATAAAAGTAATTTTTATTTATGGACACCTATATAAAGTGTCCGACACATCAGACACAGGTACGACTCTTTCGTAGAAATGTCCATACTTCTGAGCCGTACAATAAAGAAAAACTTCTAAACCCTAACTTCAACCTTAGCTTAACCCAAATGCAAAAAACAGGCGCGCAGAATGTCCTCCAACGCCGCTTCACCTATTCCGTCTGATCAGCTGTAGAAACACATCATAAAAAGAACAAAAATGTGAAATAAAATAGAAATATAAATCATCACCATCCTTCAACAAAAAGAAAATAATATAATCAACTAGATGCAGTTAGTATATCTATGTTGAATTTTCCCCAACTCAGCAACAACTAAAGTTAAAATATCACTAGAGACTGATTACATTTCTTCAATGTCTTAGTACATGTTTAAATTAGCTTAAAGATGTTGCCATTGTTAGTTCTACAATTCTGTGCAGACTTGGGCCAACATGTTTAAGATTCATCCACCAAAATACATCCAATTTCACAACCATTGTCTAATACAAGTAAGTATTTCACCAGAGTAAGTATGTCAAATTATTCTGAAATAATTATGGAAAACCATTAAAACTATTAAATTCGAAAAACTATGTCAAATTCCTAACCTTCTAAGCCTTTTAAACTAAGACCTTCGAAACTTATGACATATTCTGGCAAAATATGGGTATTCATGAGGGTACTCACTCCACACAACGTACATTTTAGGAGCTGAAAGATTGTCAACACCAGAATCAAACTCGGATGAACAAGCTCTGACTTCCCCAAGATAACGTGACAAAGCAGTACATGCCTCACACCATCCTCATCAACAATGGCATATTTAACACTGTAAAACAAGCCCATTAACCAAAAATGTATATGTATACAAAATTACAAAAAAAATTATATACTCTTAAAGCAATTACACACAATCAATAATACTCAGACATTAATCAATTAGTGCATGACCAATTGTATGTCCTGCATATGACATGAATGAACTGATGATGAAAAATAATTTAAGAAAATTGTTTGATCGAAATACTTGCTTACCTTTCCATATAGACCAATCCTCAGGTTAATTGGAGACAAATGCCAAAGCCATACAATTCATTGCTCTCACTCTTAGGCTCAGCTTTCCCACAATGACCAAAACCATGAGAAATTGTTTTTCTAATCTCATTCTTGGAAGCACCATACCAACCAAACTTCACATTGGCATTGCCATCACACTTGTTTTCCATAGCTTCCTCAAAAATTTGGAACGAACGAAGCCGGGCTCGTCCAGTAAAGCCAGAAGCATATCTGTGTATTGCCAATACTCTGTTATGAGGTCGAAGAGGACCCAAACCCGAAAAAATTCCTTTTCGGGATAATCTCAAACAGGTTATCCCCTTCACCTACTAATTCTCTGCATATAAATCTTATAATAACTAATAACTAAACAAAATAATTAAGACATCAAGCTTGGGTTTGCTCCCAATGGTCACCGTACGGGTCTTCGCAGGGTCATTAGAGATTTACCCGGTAACTTTAGGAACTCGTGCAATTAGTCGAGATGTGCAGGAGCTAGCCTCGACACCCACGATTATAAAAATAAATAAATAAATAAAAATAAAAAATAATTAAGAGATCCATCTAATATATATATATATATATATATATATATATATATATATATATATATATATATATATATATATTTATCGGATGTCCCAAAGGAACCGTCCATCTAATATTAAGCTGTTTTGATTGTCTCCTTTTAACTTAATAATTTTATTAATAGTTACAACAAAATTTTACGCACAAAACAATGATTTTATAACTCAACAGTTTCTGGATTACACATAAATTAAATATTTAGCCTACAATAATTACAACAAATATGAATTAAATAAAAGGATGAGACTCTCAACGTTTGTAAATTTAAAACAATATCAATTATGCAAAATTGAACAAGACACGGACATTATTATAAGAATGAACCATAGAATTTAAACACACCCCCATAATAATAACTCAACAATAGAAATTAAGAAAGGAGAATGACAATAATAAAATAAAATAGAAATAAATATATATAATAATGCTCATCGATCTGAATTTCTCCATCTCACTTGGAATAGTTAGATTCCAAAGATTTGAGGCTATTATTAGCATTTTGTAGCTTTGGAGTAGTGCTCCTGTTCATAAACAACCAGCAAGCTGAAACCCTGCCATGATCATGATCATGATGATCTTGTAATGTTTCATCTTTGGAGCATGAGTTGGTTCCATGATCATCATCTTCTATGATTTCGTCTTTGGAACATGGGTTGGTTCCGGATTGTTGGACCGGAGAAGGCGAATACTTGGAGGATTGGCGCTGGAGCTTCCTAATGGTGCTTATTGGTACGGCGTAGAACTTCTGTCCGGGCATTAGAGTGGTGTCCGGGGACACAATGGCCCAAGGGTCACGGAAGACATGGCGGTGGGCAACGCAGTATCTAGGGTTCCGGAGCATGATCTCGGATGCAAGAACAGGCCTGTCATGAAGCTCCACGTGGCCGCCGGGATGAACAATCTTGACAAGCATGTTCTTTGTGTTGTTTGTGCAAAGCCATGAGCTTAAGAAGGACATGGCCGGTGTAGCTAGCTTCTATCGATCTCATGCATCGACACACACACACACACACACACACATAGAGAAAAAGAGTGCGTGTTGGTGGTGTTGTAGTTTGCTAGTGTGTATTTGGTTATAAGTTTAATTAGTGGTATTTCTATTGGGTAGACTCAGAATATCCATGACAGGCTGTGCTCTGAGAATATCAATTACAGGTTGTGCTCTTGATATTCTCGGTCATGGCTTGTTTTATTTGAGCCACCATCAATAACATTGTGGTTACTATATATATATATATACATTATATATTATATAGTAGTCACTATATGGTCGAGTTTAGGGTACTTGATGTCTTGATCAAATGATAACTTTTGGGTGGACTTTTGAGTTTGGATCTCAAAGTAGTTAATCTTTATAAAATAATATCAAACCATTCCAACACTCCAGCTGGTACATGTACGTTTTGGATACTTCAATATAAAGGTTCACCACTTGAAGGAGTATAGAACTCATTTTAGAGAAAAGCAAATGAATAGTGGTACAATTTCACTGATGAACATTTTATCCTTTTTGATCCGCGGGTTGGTCACGTGGAATAAAGGCGTGGGATAGATATTTTGAAAGAGGAGGTCTCTAGTTGGACACTCGAAAGGTGCATTAAAGGCAATACTCTTTTTGAATTGTTCGTGACTTATTCAAAGACTATTATTTAAATCTCGTCAATACCCCCTAATTTATCTTCTAAAAATGAGTCCAAAACACCCGTCCAAAGGGGTCATCTTATCCTTGATCAATTAAAGTACTTGATCAAGAAATTCTCACTTGTAACTTAAAATAATTTCCCTTTTTGTTGTGGTATTTTTTTTTATTTAAAAGTTTTTGTGATCCGATAGTTGTTATAATTGACTTTCAATGACGAGGACTATCCCTTGCACTTCACATACTCTAGAATCAGATTAGAGTCAAATTTATGTATTTTTATTTTTTTACTATTTTTTTATTTATGTTCCACGAGGAGTGAGAAGTACATTAAAAGAAGCATTTAAGAGTTGTTCTTGTCCAAAAAAAAAAAAAAAAAAAGATGGCACATAAAACTAGGCATGCAGCAGCCCTATCCTTCCATGCATTCAATATCCACCCTTTCCTCTCCCCATACACCTGTAAACTGTTTCATGTGAATTTACTTATTAGTCTGCATGCATCAAACTTACTCTACTATTATGCACTCTCCTTGGTTTTGATAGTTATAACCATAAAATTACCTTAAGAGAGAAAAAGAAAGGGTATGAATATATATTCTTCATCCAAATCCATACATATCGAAATTCGTAACATATAGCTAGCTAGCTAGCACGCACCAAGTCCATCACTTGTATTAAATGCTGCAAATATGGGCTGCATTTAAGCACCACTTTCCACCTAATACACACACAAACTCAGACATTTGAGTTCTTATATGAATGAGTACAGAGAACCATCATGTGCAAGAAAAGTGAGGTGGACAATGAAGTAGCTAGCTAGAAAGATGAAAGCAAACATAGTGATAGCCATTGTGTTGGCACTACTGTTGATCACTTCTACAATTTTCACAGAAGCCAGAACTCTTTCAAAACACAAACACCAACATCAAAAGGAAGAAGATAACAAGAGAAGCAGCAATAGAAGTAGAAGAAGAAGTGGTGGTGGTGGTGGTGGAAGAAGAACAAGTAGAGGCAGAGGCAGAGGCTCATCGTCAAACTGTGATCCTCTCTTTCAATACTTATTTGGAAGCTGTGGCCAATGGCCCTTCACAAGGTCCTCTCCCAACAACCCCTTCGACCCAAGACCCAACCCTTCCCCGCCTCGCCCCAATCCACCTCTGCCGCCGTCTCCTTCACCACCGGTTCCCTTACCTCCACTAGTCCCTTCACCTCCACCCATAGTAGTGCAACCACCACCGGTAGTCCCTTCACAACCACCACCGGTTATGCCACTTATACCACTTGCACCACCACCACTTGTTCCTTCGTCACCACCACCAGCAGCTCTTTCACCACCACCAGTTGCCCCTTCATCGCCTCCTCCTGTTACACCATCACCACCACCGGTAACATCAGCACCCCCACCAGCTGAGACTTCACCTCCACCAGCGTCACCACCGCCTTCCGCACCACCACCTTCCCCACCACCACAATCACCACCACCGCCTTCTGCACCACCACCATCACTACCACCGCCTTCTGCTCCACCGCCATTACTTCAATCACCGCCGCCACCTTCCCCTCCACCGCCATTAGTTCCCTCTCCGCCTCCACCTGAAATTCCCATATTTCCACCACCATTAGTCCCATCACCACCACCACCGGCAGATATACAACCACCACCAGAACTCCCATTTGTATTTCCACCACCACTAGTTCCTTCACCACCACCACCTGAAGTCATACAACCACCAATATTTCCATGGTTATCACCTCCTGATCAGGCAACCACTGACACTCCTCCCCTTCCCCTTTTTTCTCCGCCACCATCTTTCCCTCTACCTCCAGACTTTTCTCTTCCACCACCAGAACAAGAAGCCCCACCAGATGAATTTACACTTCCAACACCTCTTGTCTCACTATTTCCTCCACCAGAAGAGCCGCCACTTTCGTTTACTCCACCTGTGATGTCGACCCCACCAGCACCCGATTCAGACATGGGTCAGATTCCGACATTCCCACTTCCACCTCCGGTGGTGGTTCCGGATATTCCGGTGCCATTTTCTTTTACACCTCCAACACCTGATGCTTTCAGTGACCCATTTCAGCAGTCACAATCACCACCACTTCCTTTCCTCCCTCCAACACCGGATGCTGATGTTGGTCATATTCCAACATTCCCACTTCCACAGTCGCCGGGATTTTCTATGCCGCCTCCAGTTGTGGTTCCCGATCTTCCTGTGAATCCAGCAGAGCCACTGCCATTTTCATCAGCTCCACCAGCACCAGATGCTTTCAATGAGCCACTGCAGCAGCCACAAACACCACCACTTCCGATGTTTCCTCCCGTTCAACTTCCTCCACAAGTGGGTTCACCTCCATTTTAGAAATAATTCATTTGTGTTCACCTCCATTTTCTTATGTATGGCTGATATTGTTTTGGGCATTAATATTTGTTTGGAGAATTTAAGGGAGATTTGTCTTAATCACAGGACTTCTTTTTACTGGGATAGGTTCATTCATGCGAGTATGTTTACCTTACAATAGTTGAGTACCAGCTCAAATGAAGATAGGTTTCTGAACAAAGAATTAATGACTTGGTTTAACTACAAAGAGCTAACATGGAACTACAAAAACAGTGAATAAATCCATCGGGACAATCCATAAACAGCTCCTCAAGCAATCACTGCTTCGATCTCTAGGCTGCTCCTTTATATGATCTAGAGAGTGGACATCAATAAAACAAGTTCTCCAGAGAACTACAACTAATGTTTCACATAGAAGACAAGAGGACAATAAAGAAAAAGAAATCCGCCTAGATTAAAATTCATTCGCCCAAAAGAGCGGGGTTAAGAAAAAGGAAGACATTGATACATGCTTATTTAATTCTTGTAATCTGGGTTGTCTCGGAGACCAAGTTTAGAGAGAATAAGGCAGTAGGAATCCCAGTCAGTTCTACGGAGATACTTCAACAACTTCTTCCTCCTCTGAATCATGCCTTGAAGACCCTTCCGAGAATGCTTATCCTATGGCATTTATTTATTTATTAGAAATATAGCAACTCATTAGCAAATTTGCAGCAGAACAAAATTATACAGTAGTAATCTATAAAACTAAAGAGCCAAGGACAATAGGACATTTCCTAAAGATTACAACACTCTTTCTTACAAGATTGCCATCATGTCACTGGTTATCAAAAATGCAACTCACCAAAGAATATTAGCATCAATTTAGCAAACATAGGACATTTTTTTTTTTTTTTCTTAGTTGGTGCTCACACGCACATGCCTCCACTGTGGCTCGAACTCCTGACCTCTTTTTGGGAAGTAGGGGCATGATACCGCTAGGCCATGGCCTATTGGTAACATGGGACATTTTAGTAATGACTAGTTTCACATACTAAGTTAATGACAGACACCATGCCATGCAGCAATAGCTAAGTTGAACCTTTTTAAGGCATTAGATTTGACTCAATATTCCCCAACCCAAGAAAGAATATATGGAGAGGGCAGTAGTGTCAATCGTGTAAATTTTTAGAGTAAATTCAATATGCTTACAACTACACGTCCACCAAAAAAATCACTACTTAATCATTTCAAAGATCTAATATTAAGTTTACAAGAGTGTACTCTGATCAAGAACTCTAATGACCACCTAAAAAGATATAGGGAAGTATATATAATTAATCCAGATACCTTTTTGTGCAAAGTTGAAGACAGGTGCTTGATCTTTGTTGTGAGTTGTGCCACTGCAAAATTGCAAAAGTTGAAGCATCAAAATTATTTATACAGAAAACCGTGCAAACATGGTACGGAAAACATTTGAAGTATTACTGGACGTCTTCCACTGGAATTGCTTCTTGCAAACAAAAATTAACAAGTTTAGATGGTAATCAACCTCCCATCCAGCATTGGGGCAAGAATGGTTGTAAAAAATAGATATGGAACTGAAAGACATCAAGTGCCAGGATTCTTCGATTGCAACTAGGAGAAAGAAGAATGCAAAAACCACTACTGAAAACAAATAAAATAGTTTGAATAAAAAGAGACTTCAACTCAATCAATTAAAGAGAGCAATAACCCAACTTCAGGTTCATCTACACAATCCCATCATACCAATGGTTATCAAAGCAATCTTTGGTCTTTCAATGAACATGGATAAACCATCTGGAGTGCCTTTGACCTTGTTCCACATTGATGTCACTTATTTAAAATGCAATCTTTTCTATTATATCCTTTCTTTTCTTGCAACTAATCTATCTTAAAACCTTCATTTCAAGCACTCATTTTATGAAAATGTTAATAAAATGGCGATGTTCCTTACCACAAAGCTTGATTAGCATATAGTGTTCTATAAAAACCTTTCACACTTTGATAAATGTTGATCGCAAAACAATAGAGAAGTGTTCTTTCACTTCATTTTTATTTTTTATTTTTATAAGTGCCCTTTCATCAATTTCAGTTCTATGGGTACAGTGTCTATGAAAGTATCAAAGCAGTTGCTCTAAATATAACTTGGTCACAAATACTGACTACTACTCAATTCGTTCCTAGTTATACCAAATTATGTTAAACAAATTAACTCTTTCCCACCCTTACTACAATTTTGTCAATTAAAATTTCTGTCAAAACATACTAAACACAACAGAACTTCACACATTGTGTTTGACAAAATTGTCCATTCTTCACACAAACACAAAAAAGTAAGCTGGAGATTAATGTCCCTCGGGGAAGAAAAGGATGACTGAAAAGAACACAGATACTATTTGTATAATTAAAACAAAAAATAGATATTTCCTCTGCTCTGATGGCATAACATTATCAACTCTTTAAAGGAGGTCATAATCCTTTTCTAAGTCAAGAGCTAAGAAGCACGGACACTCCAAAATGGGCGAAGAATCCGTGTCCGACACGTGTCGAACACGGACACGCGTCGGACACGCCCTGACACGTGTCGGACACGCCAAAAAACATGTCTGGAATTTTTTTATTTTTTTTTATTTTCGGACACGGCTTGGACACGGTTCGGACACGGCTTGGACACGGCTCGGACAGCTCGGACACGGCTCGGACAGTTCGGACACGGCTCGGACACAGCTCGGACACACTTTTCTGGATTTTTTTTTTTTTTTTAAATTTTTAATGCTGATATGTTAATTTTTTTTTTTAAATTTTTAATGCTGATATGTTCTATTTTTTGTTTTGTACTACCCTAAAGATGGTGATATATATATATACTAACCTAAAGATGCCACAATTCGCCGTGTCCGTGTCCTAAAGATGCTGATATATATATATACTAACATATCAGTGATATATATATATATATTCCAACCTAAACATATCAGTGTTTTTTTTTAAAAATTATTAATGCTGATATATATATATATATATACTATTCGCCGTGTTCGTGTGCTAATTTTTTTGGATTTGCCGTGTCGCTGTGTCCGTGTCGTGTCGTATCCGTGCTTCTTAGGTCAAGAGCATATAGAAGTTTGCAATCTAAAGGTTCTTAAACAACTTTGCCAAATCCTATCATCCATAGGTGCCACCACCTCTAGCTTTTCACTTACCCATATATATGTGTCTGTATATACTTGATAAGTAAAGTATATTAGAAAAGCGCTCAAACGAGGAGCACGCCTATATACAACTTCAAGAACACTAAAGACCTTTCAGCTTTCAGACTATCCATAAAATCAACTATATATATATATATATATATATTTTTTTTTTTTCCCTTGTCTGTCATTCTTAGCATTGCAACTCGGTGTGATGATATCTCCAGTTCAGTTATTATATGCCTGTATCTGAATTTTGTACATGTTTTTGACAGCATAACTTTCTAAAACAAAAAATTGGCTTCGTTTTTCTCATATAATATTCCTTTTTATTTTGATTGGTGATCTATGATCCCGCAATGGCAGAACACTTAAAATAATTTCTCTGCTTTATCTTCCCTCGTGAAAAATAAACCAAAAAAGACCACCATCAAGTACCTCTAAGCTGCCAATTTTCATAACTATCCCATCTTGACTTTATCCTATCACAATTTCCTCATTTCTGTCTCCTTTACCATTTTTTCCTTTTTGGTGGAAACAAACACGCTATCCTGCAAATATGCTGTCTTCATTGTAAAGTATCTTTGAATTTTGAACTTAAATAAAACCTACTATAGTATATCCTTGTGATATTTGAATGCCTCAATTTTAACTTTCTGAAAAATATTGTATTTAAAAACCTTCCTAAGCTCCAAATAGCAAGCTGTGTACGAAAGCATTTTTGCACTAGTAGTTGAACATCATCATTCTACCATCAAGTTTCTTTGTATAATGACCACATCCTTTAGGCTCTCCAAGTACCTTTCTGCCACCCATTCAATAATATGAATTATCTTCTACCACGTTCCCTTAGTATCTTCTTCCAACTACCATCTTTCACATTTTAAACCACCAAGTTCTAGAACTAACCAACACTTGAATACCATCTTCCAATTACAGGCACTTAAATACTAACCGACATCACACAAGATGTCACTCTCCAATCAATCATGTAAATTCAGATGTTAACCAAGCACTCTAATAGTAAAACCCTCAACATATAAAATTAAAGATCTATTACATTAGTTCAACCATATTTTCCAACTCAGTAACATATGTGTTTGTCTATTCCGTCTTAAAGGCATTAATCATATAAGCATTTTTTCTTCTGAGACTAGTTAACCAATATTTCTCTACGACAACGATTATGTAATTGAATGTACCAAATCTATCACCTAGACACAAACTTACACTTGACACACACATACAGGAGTCCATGTGATATGGCTTCACTGCTTCACATGCATCCATGAAGTTGTGCAGCATGTTACCTTCAGAAGACATCCCAAAGATACTCTATGCATTAATCACAACAATTAACTAATCAAATGTTTGAGCAAAGGTCATTGCTTGTAAGATTCAATAACTTCATGACCCTTGCATCTGTTGCTTTCTTTAGAATGTGATCTTTGAGACCTTGATCACCAGTCACTCCTGTCGTTTTTTCACTAGATTCAACGGTTATGTCATTGCTTGTCGTTTTTTCTTTAGATTCAAAGCTCGAGATGGAAGATTTGTCCAATTTTGGGAGGATTCCTGGTGTGAGGATAGGCCTTTGGCTCTTGTGTTCCCAAGACTATTCAGGATTGCTATTGACAAACATGCTATGGTTGCTGGCTGCTATCATCTTGATAGCGGGACGTTGTCTTGGGATGTGCGATTCCGGCGATCTTTTCAAGATTGGAAGTTGGATGATGTCACTGGTTTGCTAGTCCTTTTGTATAGACAGGAGTTGGATGGCACTGGTGTGGATTCCCTGATTTGGGTGCCTTCTTCACAAGGGACGTTCCAGGTCTGGTCCTTCTTTGTGCGCCTCTCTAGTTTTCATGGTTTGCCCTTCCGTGGAAGACGGTGTGGCTTTCTAAGGCACCTCTTAGGGTGACCTTTTTTGTGTTGACTACAGCTTGGAGTACGATTCTGACTTTGGACAATTTGAGGAAGAGAAGACATATCATTGTTAACCGGTGTTGTCTTTACAAGTGTTATGGGGAGTCCGTGGATTATCTTCTACTGCATTGTCCTGTTGCCTATGATTGTTGGAGTCTTATGTTTAGTTTGTTTGGTATCTATTGGGTCATGCCTCGGACTTCTCGAGAGTTGCTTGATATCTGGAGGGGCCAATGGGTGGGGACTCAAGCTAGAGATTTCTGGAGGGTGACCCCTTTTTGCATTTGGTGGAGCCTTTGGAAAGAGCGGAATAGTAGATCTTTTGATGGAAAGGAATCCCCTATTGGAGCGCTGAAATTTTCTATTATTTGTAACCTTTTTTGTTGGGGTTGGGGGAGAGATTTTTCTTCTTTTGAGGATATTGTGGACTTCTTGGGCTCTTTGAGTTCATAGGTTCCATTTTTGTGTATAGCTTGGGACGCGTTCCCCTTTTGAACGCTTTCTAATACATTTTACTTGTCAAAAAATATATATATATATATCAATATCATTTCAATTTGGTGCAAAATGCAAAATAAATAAATAAACCCTTTAGTTTTCTCAAATTTGCAAATAACCTGCCTGGATTCTCAATTTGGTAATTAACCACCTATAATTTCATAAAACCCTACAAAATACCCTGGCCTCTTTTTTCCCTTAGACATGGATGGAAAACAGTCATGTACCACACATGTTCACAATTCATAACTTTTTTATATTATGACCAAAAGTCCCTTTCTATTAGATTGAAGAAAATGTTGCACTTACTTCCACCCCTAGTTAGGTAAAAATAAATCGTGCTCCCCTTAAATTTGGATAATCTCAATTGCACCCCTCTAGTTAATAGTTAATACGATTGTAAAATCACCCCCTGTCGTCAATCTCATTAACTGTCAAATGTGTGATGACATCAAAATTCAGGCTTAAAATGGCAATTATGCCCTTGAAGTGCAATGTAAAGACACTTTTACCCTCTCACTAACTCCTACTTTGCTCTCACATACCCCCTCTATCTAAAACTCATTCTCAATCTAAAACTCTCCCTCTTTCTAAAACACTCTCTCAAACTCTCCCAGACACACAACACTTCTCTCTCCACACACACACACGTAAAACTACAAAGAATACAGAGCTAAAGGAAAAAGAAAAATATATGAAATTCACTATAACAAGTATCTCAAGTTCAACAATTGGTTGTTCCATTCCAAAATTCCCTTCCCTTTCCTCTTTGGCAGCAAAACACAACCTTCCTTTTCGAAAAATACTATAGTAGTTGATTGGATTTGGAGATTGAAACGATTGTAATCAGAGATAAGTCTCTTTTTAAACAACGTTGCCCATGTTTTTAGCTCTCTCTTCAAATCATAAAGACATTAAGAAATTTTTCAGTAACAATAGCATATTTAAAGAAAAAAGAAACATAGATTATTTTTTATACTGGCAAAGAAGTCCCACAATGTTCTAGGGGAGACTTGAAAAAAAAGATTATGCACAGGTATTATGCAACAAGAAATAAGTCATACAACCTTTACTGGATGGATAACCATGACGAAATCAACTGCGGGATGCTTTACCTTGAACAGGAGTAGATCCACAATCCGACTCTGACAATTTAAATTCATCTCTGACTTTTTTAAGCTGAAGTTTCAGTTTCTCTGCAGATGACATGTTATCTGGATGGAAATACTGCATAAAACAAAAGATAGAATTATTACACCATGAGCTTACTATTTATAACAGCAACATTAAAAAGGTCGACTAACTTCAAACTCCTATAAAAAAATAAAAATAAAAACAAATAATCATGAACCAATTATAGTGTGTTTCTCTGCAGAATTTCAAAGAAAAAGATAAGAGCTCTGGGAAAAAAAAATAAAAATTAAAATTAAAAAGGAGGAGGGGAGCTCCTTCATTCCCTACTTTTTTGCGTAAACTTTTGAACATAAAAATTTAGTCAACCCAAGGGGAAAGTGCTCCCTACTCTATTCCCTTCCCTCCTTCCATCCTACCAAACAGTAAAAGGAGGGGGGGAGCTCCTTCATTCCCTACTTTTTTGCGTAAACTTTTGAACATAAAAATTTAGTCAACCCAAGCGGAAAGTGCTCCCTACTCTATTCCCTTCCCTCCTTCCATTTTACCAAACAGTCTGTCCCTCCCAATTTCTATCCATTCTTTTCCTTCCACTTCCCATCTACCAAACACGCCATAAATAATGCATGTTGATCAAAGTTCCATTTTCCATTCCTTCCTTTCTATTTTTGTTCATCCAAGGAAAAATCTGACCTTTATCAAACCACAAAATAAGTATTCTAACAATGATAATTTGACATGATAAGTGAAAAAAAAAATGCAAATATCACAAACATGACTTCAAAGCATCAAAGCATCCCATTCAAGGTATCATTATTGCACTCAAAAATTCTTGCTGCATAGAAGTGAACTTGTTTGGGAATTTGAATAATATCTCATGATTTCCACAAATATTAGATTACGAGTGGAAGGTAATATATTCACCTTCTTTAACTGGTTTAGGTAGTCTTAACTGGGTTTTATTGGCAAAAAATGAAGCATGGTCCACAAAAGAAATTGACATGAATCCAATGAAGTTCCATAGAACAATCGAAAAGGAAAGACACTATATTCAAGAAAGCAATACTTGCCTTTTCAACTACTTGCTCTTTCGGAGGTGACAGCATAAAGGTCGGAGGTCCAGTAAGCTGGCCTAAGACATTGAGTTTTTGAACTGTAATAATGAATCTGATCAATAGAGTATAAATCAATTCTATAAAAGGATGTGCCATAGAAACTACTCATGTCCATGCATAAAGAAAAAGTAGAAAACAGTATTGACCCAAATTTTAGGTAAATAGGAGTTTGCAAACTCACCAGATTAACCTTCTCAACAAAGATTACCGACTCATAATCAAGGGAAAAAGAAAGAGTAGCTTTTGGGACGTACAAGTACATCATCAACCATGTCTGTATTGATTAAGCTCATAAAAAAGGATAAGAAATTTGCACACACAAAAAAATTATTCCACTTAAGAGTGGCTAAAAGCTGTACAAAAATAAAAATTAATATAATACTAAAAAAATTTATATAGTCAAGGCCGTGTAATTAAAACTTGGGCTGATATCATTAACCGTGCTAACCTTGGTATGGAAGTTATGCACGAAAATAATACTCATAACTTCCCTCTAGACCTAGTTGCTATAGAAGCTCCATCAAAAAATGGATAAGACTTTTTCTTAGTGCATACGAGTGATTGAAAGTAAAGGAGCAATAACCAATTTCTTGTCCTATCAAGATCAAGAGGGTGTTTTCAGGTTGATCATTGCATGAATGCACAAAAAGATTTCCAACAAAAACTCAACACTAAAACGAAAACCAGATTAATCTAATATATTCATTCAGTTCATTGATTGGAGAAATTTTTTGCTGAATTGATATAGCAGAGTGATGGAAGATTTTAAATTTTTACCTTTGCACCAACATTACAGCAGGATATATACATTCCAAAAATTTAACCCCAAAAAATAAAACACCAAAAGTGCTACTGAATGTATCCATGGCTTTTAAACATGGACAGTGACCAAGAGAATCCACACTAGCAAATATGCAGAGAAAGCTTAACAGAGAAAGCTTAACAGAGTTGGTGGCATAAAGAAGACAATGTTACAATTTTCATAATAGTGAAACAGGCAAGCCTAATGCTAGCATCCAGAAGACAAATAAAAAATCAAAAAAAATACAAAAATCAATTATAAAGTAAATGTGCATCAAATCTCAGCCCTAAAACAATTACTCAAATAAAAAAGATAACGTATAGCAGGAAAAAACATTTCCATTATTATATAGAATTGTACCAAACCTAACTGTTTCCCCTCTCAAAAGGGAATTGAAGTATTTCATATATAAAAGACTTAATTTGAATAGAAACAATATCAAACACTTGGACCATATTTTACAATTTGAGAAGCTGAATTGGAAATTTTCTAAAGATCAGAACAATAAGAATATTTTTCTATCAACCATCAAAATGAAGTACCGACCATTGCAATAATTCAACAACCAACTCAATCCTATACTGATTGCATCTATCTATTGACTTAAGTAAACAAAACAATTTTTTTTTTTTTTTTTTTTTTTTTCATGTAAAATAACCACCATAGCATCAACAGCTTGCAAAAGAATCACTTACACGAAACTTTCTTGATCTTCTCCTCATCCAAAAGCTTCAACTTCTGAAGACTCTCTCTCAAATCGCTATAATTGACGCCGACAATTTTTGACTGGGTTTCCTTCTCCTCAATCTCCCTCAACTTCATTAACCTCTGGTTCAACTCTCCAAATGAAAACCAATTCCCCCCATTCGTGGCCGGCCTCAACATCCTCAACTTCTTCCCCAACTCATCATAATCATACATCTTCACAAACTCCGTCTTCATCACCGCCGACTCTAGATTCATCTTCGCATTCATTTCCCTCCCAAACACCGATAACGGTAGGTCATTCCCTCCGAACGCCGTCTTAGACTTGTTCGCATTCGGATCACCCGATTTTGTATTCAAAACCTCTTTAAAATTCGAAAGCGACATTGGATCGTTCAGCCTAACACCTCCATTGCCTTGTTGCTTCGGCGTGTTCGATCGAATCTGCCGCATGCTCTCGCGAATTGCTTGAAACGACAGCTTGGTGTCTTTATTGGCTTCCGCGGCGTTAGATCCTTCACCTGTCGATATCACATTTCGCTTGTAGAGCTCCTGGAACGAGACGTGCTGGGACTGCGGAGGCGATGGTTGGCCGCCAGGCGGTGGGACGGCGGAGCGACTGCGGAATTCGGCGAGGTTCTTGAGTATGTCTTCGAGGGGTGCGACGTTGGTGGTGTTTGTGGTGGAGAAGGAAGGAGGGAACGGCTTGCGAGGTTGCCTTTGCTGTGGTGGTGATTGTTTGAGACTGGATTTGACCTCGCTGAAGTAGGAAGAGAACGAAGGTTGTGGCTGTGACTGTGACTGTGACTGTGATTGTGGTTGTGGTTGTGGCTGCGATGGTGGTGAAGAAGTGGCGTTTTGGTCTTCGGCGTTGGGGTCTGAGGTTGAAGACGAGAAGAAGTGAATGAAATTAGGGTTTCCGATGGTTCTGTGCTTGGGTCTGAGCTGAAGAGCTACTGTTGCCGCCATTGGCGAGCTGAGTGAGATTTTTGGAAAGTGGAAACCCTCGAATTTTGAACACCTGAAGGCTGTAGACGGTCGGTGTGCATGACAACTGACAAGCAAGTGTGGTTCGAGGACTCTCGGGTTATGCCATTTTACCCATTCATCAACTCCTAAATCGGAGCCCGATCCATTTGGACATTCTGAAGAAACGCTTATTGTAATTGGGCCGACAACAAACTAAGGGACCTGTAGCCCAGGCCCGTTGTTTCTTGGCCAGCATCAAAAGCTGCGTATACCGTCCTCATTTTTTACTCAAACAACTGGTAAAAGTCAAACATTCTTTAAATCATAAAATATTACACTTTAGCTTTATGTTGGTCTCAGGACTAGGATGGCAATTTTCTCAGCTCCGGAGGGTTTTTGCCCACTTCGCTCTTAATGGGGTAAATGTAATAGCCTCTAAATAGATTTGGAAGAAGTATGATAAAATAAGTCAAAATTCAAAATGAGTTTGAGACGTAAGACAGATTTAGTGATAAAAAAATTAAAAATTTAAAATGAATTTGGACAATAAATCCGTTCGACCCGACCCTTGTTAATGTAATTGTCAGCTTATTTATAGCATGAGGGCTAATTTTTTTTTACCTATTCTAACCCTGCAATTAAATATAGTGCGCGAATTAGTATTTTATCTGTCGGAATAAGAGCGAAAATAATATACCAATTACAAACCGTTCCGAAGTAAGAACTGAATTAGTATGACGAATTTTCAAATGGGGCAGAGTAAGGTTTAGCTAAATCATCCCAACTTCATTCAGTTATCATCCCTACTTTGGTATATAATATTGAAAGAAAATATAATAGATCCGTTTTAAATGGGTTTACCGATAAAACCCAAAAAAATATAAAAATAAAAATAAAAACCCTAATTTCTCCGTCATCACCTTGCGCCGTAGCCACTCCTCACCCTCTCTCCATCTCTCTCACCCCCCACCACCCTCTCTCTTTATTTTCCACTTTCTTGTACGGTAGTTTACATTGCACACATATATGTGTTTGTATATATATATATATATATCTGTAGCAAATTAAAAGATCTCGTTAACATGGGAACAATTCTCAACTTTCAAACCTGTAACTGTTTGAATTGTTGAATCATCTCAACTTTCAAAACATGACTTTTGTTTACATATAAATATAGCAATTACGTAGAGGGAAGGGTAGATGAAGACGAACCATTATCTTCTTCGATCAGAGTGATAACAAATTCGGTGTTGGAGTTTCCGTTACGGCGGGCGACGAGGACGGGAGGGGCTGCAGAAGCGCCAGCAACAAGGGCTAGGGTTTTGGTGGTCGGTTTGAGGGAGAGGCTGTGGAATGAAGAGCGGAGGAGCCGTGGGTTGTTATGGTTAGGGTTTGAGAGGGGAAATTGAAGAAGAGAGTGAGATGGGTCGGAGGAGAGGACGGTGTGAGCGGCCATAGCTGCTACTTGCAGCGTTTTGTGGGAGAGATGATGGGGAGAACCGCCATAGAGAATCGGGTTATTCAGATGGATTGTACCGGATACCCATTTTTAACGGGTCTGATCCACTTTTAGTTCTAAGACCAAAGCATTATGGGCATAAACTGAAAATTGCAAATAAAAATACACTATTTCATCACATTTTCTATTTATAAATACAAAATTATCAAGATATTTTGAAATTTTTATTAAAAAAAAATTAGTCAAAATTGACAATCAGGTACAATTTGTTATAGAATTTTAAATACTAAATAATTTATATGTACATACTAAATAATATAGGTGTTTTTTGAAAAAAAAAAATATATATATATATATATATATATATTTGGCATGCGATGGATTTTTTTTGTGAACATTATAAGTATTTTAATCGTTAAATTGAAAACCGTCAAATTAAATACTTTCCTTTGACATCGTGGTCTCACTACCATCTAATGCCACATTACAAAATAAGTTGTCACCATGCCATGTTGATATACAATAAATGTTAGAAGACAATTTAATTTTGAATTAACTCATTAAATTGCAAATTAAATAAATTTATATCACCCTAGACGAGCAGTGCTAGTCATCATCTACAATGCATCATACAATTATTCAATAATTTTGACTAATTTCGTGTACAGGTGCCTTAAATTTATTTGAGTAATCATTTATAATCCTAAGCCCTAACTATGCATAAAGATACGAACATAATTCTAAATTTTGGAATTATACTTTCAGACCAAAGCAAATTATTTACATATCATTTGATTATCTCCATGGTTAATTATATATAACTTTAATATAAAAATATATATATATACACACACACCATGTTGGAACCGGATTGCAACTGTTACAATATATATCCAACAAGAGGAGATAATCACATAAATATAAATATGTGATAAATAATAATATTTTTAAAATATTAATAAAGAAATTAAATATAATTTCAAATTAAAGTTTAGAAACGCGTAATTGCTTCCTAAATATAGTTAAAGCCTTTCCTAAATGCAATCGGAATATCACTTGGCAGTACTATCTCCGAAATTCAACCCAGATTCAATGATCTGTATGTCCATAAAATGACACCCTTTATGAACATTTGTATTCATCTCCGTCCAATCATTTGTCTAAAATAAAATATAATTTAAAAAATTATATTTAAATACATATTTCAGTATATATAGATATTTGATGTACCCACGTGAAATGTTTAGAATTCAACAATTTGTTATCCAAAAGTTGGTTGGAATTTTAATTATAATCATCGAAATGGTCACCAGAATCTGGAATGAAAAGTTAGAACTTTAGACGAAGTCTCACCGCCAAAAACCTCATCGATGTTTCACCAGATTTCTCATCATCTCACTGGAATTCTCTCTCACTTTCTTTGACTTAGGCCTTGCTCAAGTCTGGTACATCTCATATGGGCTCGCCCCAAGTTCATTCATAGGGCTCCAATTGAAAGGTGCTGTAAATGTTGGAATAATCCAAAAGCCCGTTACCTTCCCATGTTCAACGACCAATATCACTTGATCTTTCACTATTCCATCTACCAGCTAGGCAACTTGTTGGTTGTTTTATAAAATAGGGGATAAATATATTAAAAGTATATTTTAAAATCCTTTAAAAAAAAACCATATATTTTAAAATACATTCCAACACAGCACACAGTGTATTTAAGTAAAAATCTAAAACTAAGCGGCTATGGTTGTTGTGGCCAACTTCCAAAAAGAAATATAAAAACTATCAAAGAAAAAATAAATTCGTTCCCAAAAGAAAATTTGAATGAGAGTTTCTCCCTTGGGTCTCTAAAAAGAAAAGTAATTATATCACGTCTCATTAGTGATAAAATCATGAAAAACATTTTGTGATGTTTATCATTTTTTGTGATGTTTATCACTTTTCATAAATAATAGAGTTGTTAAGAGAACAATCATGATCATGGTTCGCAGTATCAGTCGCGGTCACGATGTAATGAATTTAGATAAAATTAGTATAAATTGATTAATACGGATCGTGTATCGGCTAATACGGCGAACCATGATCGTAATTTTGACATTGATAGCATAGACTCTACAATAAATTCCAGATCATCCAAGGGTTAAAATATTATTGTTAATACTAATGAAGGATATTTTTGTTTGGAATAAATTGAAGTATAATAATAATTGTTACTACTACTTAAACCTTGATATATATATATATATATATAAAAGAAAGTGAAGTGGTCATTGAAAAACAAGAAAAATAATTTTTAACCCCAGTGGTATGTTATGGATGGAGTCTGGAGACAACACTCTGGGCCTCGGTTGGAGTTTGGGTGTGAACAAAAAGTTTGAGTAGGAGTGTGAGCGTGTGTTTTGTCATTAATTATATATATATATATTCGGTTTTGCTAAAAAATATTTTTTGTATTGGAAAAGTCATGTGAATTTACAATTACACCTTTTCTTTGTATATTTACAAAAATAAAATATGTTCATGCATAACTTAACAGTCCTTATTAAATAACAGAATAATAATTCCCGTGTCTTTAAATGCTCAAGAAAACTATAGTTTTTTCTTGTTTTAATTTGTAGAAAAATAATTCAAAAGATATTTATTCATGACAATCTATTGAAACTTGTTAACGGTTTATGAATTAATAAAAGGGACCACTCCTCTTTTCTACACTTGCACTTTTTTTTATTCAACATAAATAACTCTCCCTTCTCAAAAGAAACAATTTACTCAATAAATATATTTTTAGGAATTTCTTATGGGTACTTTTTTTTTTATTTTTAAATTCTGCCAAGAGAGAAAACTTCTTCCTTTTTTTTTATTAGTCATGTAGACTAAGAACATTAAAGATTAGAAAGAGAGGTCTTATCTCACATCGGATGATTGGGTGTATATGGGTACATCACCTAATAGCTTAAGCTTGTAGGTTGCATTATAGTTAGTATTAGAGTCAAGATTTAATGTCACGCCAAATGCCTTCTTGGGCTAACCCACCAGGGAGCCCGAATCCAGGCCAATTCAAGAAAGTGATTGGGTGTATATATATATATATATATATGAGGGTTTTGTCTTATATCGGATCCGAATGGAGAAGTGAATAAGTATATATGAGTTGGGTGTTATCATTACCTAGTAACTTGAACTTTCGATCAAATCGTAAAGCACCTGGCCCATTACACCTATGCTACATTTGGTGTACAGGAATGAAATAAAATGGAATGCTCATTCCAACCATTCCTTTGTTTGGTATGCTACTTAAAGTTTGAAAATTCATTCCTATGAATGAATGACCATTCCATTGGAATGAAAATTCATTCATATGAATAAAAATCCATTCTACAACTAAACATATGGAATGGTCATTCCATTCCCAAGTAATTTATTTTAAAAAATCGACTTCCCAAAACACCCTCATATTTCAAGTCTAAAAACCACCATTACTTTCCACCACAATCATCTTCGCCTTTCACCACCACCACCACTACCACTGCCTTTCAACACCACCACCGACTTTCACCATCGCCCACCACTTTCCACCACCACTACCGCCACTGCTTTCACCACCGCTACCTCCACCGTTTGCTGCAACCACCGCTACCGCTACCACTACCACCTTCCACCACCACCACTGCCATTACCTTTCACCACCTTCCACCACCATCGCTGCCATCGCTTTTCACCACTGCCACCACCTTCCACCACCGCCACGCCATAGCCCTACACCACCACCACCACGCCATAGCCCTACACCACCACCACCGCCTTCTACCACCGCCGCCGCCACCGCCACCTTTCACCACCATCGCCACTGTCGCTGCCTTCAACGACCACCAACGTCGCCACCATCGTCTTCCACCACCACCATTGCCTTCTACCACCTTCCATCACCACCGCCGCCACCATCTTCCACCACCGCCACCGCCACCACCTTCCACCGCCACCTTCCACCACCGCCATTGCCTTCCACCACCGCCACCATCACCTTCCACCACCGCCACCATCACCTTCCACCACCGCCTTCCACCACCGCCACCACCACCATCGCCCACCACCTTCCGCCACCACCTTTCACCACCGCCACCACCACCTTCCACTACCGCTATAGTTATACCACTATCTCCTTCCATCACAACCACCACATTACTGCCACCGCCTTCCACTAACATCACTGCCACCTTCCACCAACATCACTGCCACCTTCCACCACTACTGCTACCACCAATTTTCACCGTTGCCACCACCGCCGCCTTCCAACACCACCACCTACACTACTACCGCTTTCCACCATCCACCACCGCCACTGCCAACATTTATTTTTAAAAAATTATTAGAGAATATCATTTTGTTAATTTTATTTAATTTATTTGTTACTAAGAGGGATATTTTGGAGAATTCAATTAGAAATTTATTCCATTCTAAATTTTAAATTGGTCCAACCAAACACTATGATGGTTTTTATCATTCCATTCCTACACATTTCATATTTATAACCAAACAATACAATGAGAATGACTATTCCATTCCATTCCCATTATCATTCCATTCCCACTTGCATTGCATTTCATTCATGTACACCAAACGTAGCACTATTGTAATGGGTGAGCGTTTGCCCATTTGTCAAAAAACTTAAATTATTAGGTAGAGCTGCATAGACACCCATTTATACCTATTTAATTTTTCATTCGAATTCGATGTGGAACAAGAACTCCTTGTAACACCTATCATATTTGGAAGGGTAGTTTTTCTAATTTAAAAATAATAATAACCATTCACTTATGATTTTTTTCTTTTTGAAAGTTTCGTCGATTTGTATAAATTGAAGAAGAATACATGAAGGCATTTGGCCAAAATAAAGCAGAGAGTTGTTTGGTTTGTTATTTTGAAAATAATTTTCTATTATTTGAAAACAAAAAAATTATACAAAAATTTTGTTTGATTTAATTTTTTGAAAATTATTTTATAAAATCTCAGTTATAAAAAAATCTGTTTCCACATAATAATTTTTTTTTTATGGTTATCTCTTTTTTGAGTTATTTATAATTATATTTTATGAGTTATTTAGAATTATTTTCAAAATTACAGACCAAACAAACTTGATAACCAAGACTCAAAGACTAATCCAAACCTAAGAATATTGATTTCTGTTCCGGTGATCAGAAATCAGTTCGGCGGTCTTGAGGATGGACCAATAAGATTGGATAAATATTTAATTTGTTAAAAATTAATTAGTGAATTGAGTCACCTTAATTTTCTGTCTTCCAATTGACTTTTTGTTACCTTTATTTTCTATAATTTTCCTGATCAAAGGATGCCTGATCTGTTTAGTACTCAAAAGGGAGTGCCCAATTATCAGAAAACCCACACCATGCACATGATAGCACACAAATTATTCCACACTACTTAAACAGTAGTCAAAGCACTAACAGTTTGTTCGATACCACTTAACAAATTTATATCGTACTATAAAATGTGCGTTATTTCTGACAATTGTGAGGGCTCCAAAAAAAGAAAAGGAAAAAGAGTCTAATCTTACCATGTACGCGAAGCACTTGATTATAACGTGTTGGGCGTGTGTTAACACACGTGCCACAAACAGAAGACCAAAAAGATAAGTTACGAAATAGGAAGGGGAGCCCAGATAGTAAAGAGCGGGGTGTTTCAGTCACGCCATTCACACAGTATCAACTAAACATAGAAAAAGGTCGTGACCCCACGCGCATTTACTAGCGTCTTCACAACACGCTCCAATCATAATGGTTACAGTGGTGTTACTTTATTGGTAGCCTGGTAGGGTTGCAGGTGACAATGGTCCCCTTCAAATAACTACTAACTTCTATTCAATCTCTTTGATTTTTGGTAGCCTATTTTATTTTATTTTATTTTATTTGTTTATTATTATTATTTTTGACAGTTTGTAACTCATTGAGCTCGAATCTTGGAAGACAATTGTTTATATATATATATATATATATATTAGAATTTTTATGAATTGCACTTGTTAGAAAATCCGCCTTGATGGGATGTTGTTGAAAGATCTAGGTTAAGTATCAATGTTATTGATTTTTTTACTATTTTTACGAAATTCTTTGAGTGAGAAAGAGCAACTAGAAGAAGGCTTGATGATTTATAATTCGTTTTAAATTAAATATGACAAGTTTGAGTGAATATCGAACTTTAACATGTGTATAATAAAAACGTTTTATATAAATTTGGGGCTCCGTATGTTCTTGTTTGAGCTTGTCAATAATTAATTTTCAATGAAATTGGAAAAAACTATCACCATTATGAGATATTTTTATTTTTTTTGGGTGAAAATTTCACATGAAATTGGGTGATTGAAAATTTAGAGGGAATTTTTTTTTTTAACTCAACCTAACACAAGACAACTTATTTTTTATACTTTATACGATGAGTATTATCACTTTTAGACATTTGTGGAAGTGTTCTTCACAATATTGGATTATTTGGCGAGTTTTAAAGTAGACTTAGTTCTTGAAAGAAGCTCAAGGAGCTAAGTGTCTCTTTAACAATGGTTTTGTTTCTGTTTTGTGTTTCTATTTTAATCCAAAACATAAAATATTTGATAAAATTAAATTTGTTACAACATTCAATAAAAACCACCAGCAATAAAAAAAATATGTAACAAAAACATTGCCAAACAGATTTAAAATTTTCACTCTTGAGATGCATTTTGATAGACAACACAACAGTCCCATTAAAATAACTGTTGATCCCTTTTAAATTATATTTGTACTTTTAGATATATTTTCCTAAAAAACATGAGAATTGTTTTTTAAAATCACTCACACACTCCATAAAACGGTTACTAAGAGTATAAATTGTATAATAATTAACTTGAGCCATCCCTTTCCATAAAAGTGTTATTAGCATTCCGAAAAAAAGTTATTTCATTTAAAGTGTGCCATATTTATTAGTCAAATATATAATTCATTGCCCTGTAATAAACTTAATCAATAAGATCGATGGATTGTTTTCTATTTTGAAACCAAAAAGTGGACCAATTAACGGATCTAATGGCATTCATTTATTATTTTATAACCTTATTAAGTTTCATAATTGAATGCTTATTCAATACCAATACCAAATTCAAAGAATAATAAGTGCAACTTAAAAGTCTGATAAAATTTTAAGAAAGAGAGACTTTGCCTATCAGTTATCAATAAGTAAAAGTATTTATAAGAAAATTTTAATTTTATAATTAGCATTTTAAATTTCAGCAAATTTTAGCTCTTCAAATTTACAAGTTAATCAAACAGACCTCAGTGTGATGACTTTGGAGTAATATAGTTTCTAAGTAGAAGATTTATAAACTCTGGATCTAGCCAAATTTAATTGAAAAACAACTAAATTAATTTTCAGAATTAGTTAGTTTTTTTTTCTTTTTAATTAATTATTATGTTTATATAGCTAAACAAATTTTCATAAATTAATCTCTTGCTTGACGAGAATGAGCTATGTAAGTATTGTATATAAGATGGCAATTCAATATATATATATATATAAAACGAGACAGAAGTTTATACTGAACAAAAATCAATAACAGAAACCATCTACCATATATGCTCAATCAAGTGGGCCGCACGTGATATAAATTTATGAAGGAAATAAAGGAATGGATCATGCAAGATGTCCATTTCGATTCCTATCATTTAAGAGTCAATTTTTTATTTATTTATTTTATTTTATTGTTGGTAAGTTAACGGCACACAAACACAGTCACCTTACCATATATAGAACTCGAATCACTCACCTTCTTCTCTTTCGGAAAGAGTGCTCATATTCGTCAACAGATGCATACTATTTGAATCGAAATGGTTAAGTGAAATGGTTAGTTGTAATAAAGGTCATTTGTTTGTTGTTGAATTTCGATGGAAAATGATTGGATATAAATAAATAGGTATGTAATACTATTTAATAGTTTGAATTTTTTAGTAAATAAGTAGGTGCCCATCCGTTATAGTTAGTATCAAAGTCAGACCCAATTCTTGATCTAATATCACACCAAGCGCTCGGCCTAAAAGGCGTCCGGACGAGTCACCCCGGATAGACAAGGTGGCCCGATCGTAATGAAGACATCGCTAGTTCGGATGGGGGATAATGTAACAAGGGTTATTTGTCTCACATCCTATTCAAATAGAAAAGTGATTGGATATAAATGTGTGGATATGCAGTATTACCCAACAACTTGAACTTTTGAATACATAGGAAAACGTCCACACGTTAGACTAACCTATTTCATTACATATTAGGTTTGTTCCGAAAAGTTTAACCCGAAATAAAAAATTATCGTTAATAACTATAAAGATAAATACACTCTTAGCTACGTTAGAGTTCCTCGTGATTGATTTTTAAAAAAAATTAATGATTCTTATTAGACTTCTTTAATAAACACAGTCAACTAGAATCTATTAAAAATATATGAATTGTTTCATTGTTACAAATTAAGAAAATTTTTCCCATTTTATCACTATTTCTTTTCAAGGACAGTTATTTGTACTCCACAACAGTGCTCTTGTGCCTTTATTTTAACGAGACAAAAGAATGGAACAACTAATAAAAAACAGAGACAGAAAACACAATCAGAAATCAAAACCTCAACCAGGCAAGGAGGCCTAAGATGACCAATCCACAAAATGACTCTTTACTCCTTACATAAATAAGATGGACCACACTGAATTGCAATCACGAGCGACTCAAGAGAGAAACCAAACTTCCATACCCTACAGCTCAAATATACCTTCATTTATTAGTTGGAGCCAATTATTTTTCATTTTCATAGAAATTCAACCGCATCACAGACTTGCAATCTCCCTCAAACACTACATTAGAAGGAAAAAAAAATAATCAGAAAGCTCAACACTGTGACGTTTTATCTATGGATTTAACTATTTACGTATTTTAGAAAGTAGTTTTACATAGAGCAATAATAAGACGTTCGAAAAGTCAAAAAATTCAGAGTAAGGAGTGTGGAGTTCGCCAATAACAATGAAATGCTTCAGAGAGTAATTTTATAAAGAGCCGAATATTCAGAAAGTCTCAAAAATTTCAAATGATAAATGATTTTCTTTTTACAAATTATAAATGTTATATGGAGTAAGTTATAAGTGATATATATATATATATATATATTTTCATTTATAAGTGATAAAATGATGATTTGAGTTTTGGTGCTCCATCATAATCCGATCCAAAAAGACCAAGGCCCCGCTCTCCACATCACAGTCACACATGACCCATTTTCACTGTACTAAAATCATCCATTCAATTAAAATCCAATCCACTGGCAATAAAAGCGCGTGGCCTACACATTCGTTTAGCCATCAGAATTGAGAACAACATGAGTGAAGAAGCCCTAGAGGAAGACGGCCAGTGCCACGGCTCACTAGTGGGTCCCACACCAAACCCCAGATAGAAAGATATAGAAAGAGAGAGAAAAATAGATCGACTCATCTCTCTCTCTCTCTCTCTCTCTCTCCATACATACAACCAACAAAAAGGGTTGTCAAATGGCATCTACTCCCACCCCTTCCACCACACACGTATATGTAGCCCATTATTTCTAATTCTAACTCTCATTCAGATTTTCCTTTTTCTTTCTCTCTCCTCTCCTCTCCTCTTTACTTTTACTTTCTCTCTCTAATCTAAGCTGACTGCAACGAGAAAAAGGAGATAGATGATGACGAGTGACGACGATTGGGTGAAAGCGGCCATGGCCGACGACTCCATCGTGGTCGACCTGCTCGTCCGTCTCAACGACACCGTTCCTCCTCCACCCAAGGGACAACAACAACAACAACAACAACAACAACAACACTTTTCTTCTTCGCTGTTGCCTCTCGACTGGACCGTCCGTCAACGCCGTTCCAGGACCACGATTCACCCGAAGAAGCCAACCACTGCGGCCAGGGCCAGCCCCACCACTCCGCTCTCCTGGAGCGGTGGCGCCACCTCCCTCAGCGGCGGAGGATGCGCCGCCGACGGCTTCGAGGAGTCCAGCCAACCGACGCTCAAGCGCTCCGACGCCACGAGATCTAAGGTTCGTTTCTCTTGCTTCCCGTGCCTTCTCTCTTCTTCACCTTTCCGGTCTTGGATGTCGATTTCTCGGTCGCCGGCGATGTCTGCTTCAGCTCGTCTACTCCGCCGACGGCTGATTCAGTTGAGTTTGGTACAAGTTGGTGTCATTCCACGACGACGTTTTGTTCTGACCCAAATACCCCTCGCACGCCCAGGAGAAGTCAGATGGAACTTGGTTTTCAACACCTGTCACCGTATTTTGTTTTTTGTCGTTACAGTTTTGACCCTTGCTGAATGAAAGAAGTCCCGTCAATTTCGAGGACTATATGGTAATTTTACTGATCGGATCGAGCTACATCTCCGACTGTCGGAGAGCCGTCGGTCGCTCCATTTTTAGTTTTTGTTGACAGAATTAGCCTTCATTTTTTGTCTAATTGTGACATTTTTGCATTTCAATTATCATTTAATTATTTTCTTTTTAATTCTTTTCAACGAGAAAATGGGTGACTTTCCTTCAACGCATTTGGTCAGAAGAAATGACTCATCATGCTTTCTTTCTCATTACTTTTCCGCTCACCAGCCGAAATCATTATCGGGTGTGATTTCGTGGCATACCCACAAATAAGAAAAGACCAAATCACCCTCCTCTTTAAGGTTAAACTAGTCATTATACAGGTCTGATTCAGACTCTAATTCTTCAAAATTGTACGGAGCGACTATTTTCATATAAAACTCCGATTTGAACTCGTGTCTCTCTCTACATTTGTTAGCTCAAAAACTTACCCATAATTCAAGGGTAATTTCGTCAATAGGAGTGACACGCATAGTGTTCAAAGTCTTATGTTGGAGTCGGTATTTAGTTGGTCATGTTTATTCAAATTGCCGAAATTGTCTCTCCCAGGGTCAGATCCCTTGCCACTTTAACAGAGAGTCATTACAAGGGCATTCTGGGCAGATAAAAACATGGCGTGTTTTGGTGGCAAAATGGGTAGTGTTGTTAGTGGTTGTGCGCTTTATGTGTGGAGGGGAATGATTCAGTGTACTCGCCGCAGTTTGATGTTATATACGGACTCGGAATATATCCACTTATATATGTATGATACTCCCTATTACTCGTATTTGATATATGTATCTCGTTGTCGTTATATCTCACCATCTCATGCCATTTGTCCATAATTGGATGCGAACATCCCAAGGCACCCACACAACTGTGGGTTGTTAAGAGATGACAAACTAACATAAGTTGTGGGTACAGCTTGATCACAACCATTGTTTGTGTTGAAAAATCGCACGGTGGTCAAGTTTGTTCTCTGACATAGTCAAAAGCAGGGATCGATGTATACTTTTTTTATTTATTTATTGTTTTTCTGTAAAAAAGTCGTGATTGGAGCTTTTATCTGTTAAGAAGATACTCTCTATGTTATTCTTCTTAGTTTAATTTCAAGCCTATATAATTTCTTTTGACCACTGAATCTACTTGCACGTATTATACAAATATGTTTTGTTTTATTATTATTTTTTTTTCCTTTTTATGGGCATTATCAACATTTTTTATAGTCATTTATAACAATATAAATAAACTATGTGGAATAGTAAAGTCGACTCATTATCATGGACAGAAATGAAATAAGTGTGAGACACAGGTTGGCATGAAATGAAATAGGTGGGGTTTGATCCAAGATCAAGATCCTTTCAGATTTGGGACCAAATTATCTGATCTGGTTTGTAATTCTAAATTCGAATTTTTAAAAAGGGTTATTCTTTAGGTCTATCTTGATCTGGGTTGGATTCAGATAATTTTAACCAAGTACTTAGATTCTTAATATCTGTCTAACAATTAATTGGAACACAATTGTCATTGATAAAGTGAATTTTCTACAGTTTCTGATTATATTTATCTTAGTAAGCTTAGCCGGGCTTGAAATGGATCAGGGTTTGACTTTATATCTAATCCGGCTCAATTTATCGGGTTTTAATTTATTCAGACTATCCATGAATTGACCACGTGTTTCATGTCTTAGCAGGTGGGGATGTCAATGTGTAGAATTCAGGGTAAATTAGGATTTCACTCTGATGCTTACAATTTATAGCCTTTCTTCTAGATACTTGGTAAACTCTAAATTTTCCTTACATTTGCTCCACTAAGTCCAGGGAGTGAGGCCAGCAATCCAAAGCATTATATTACAAATAGATTTGCTACAAAGCCAGGTATTCATGTGGATGTGAACATAGTAATGGTCCCAGTAAAGAAGACAATAGCTGAAATGGGATTTTTTTAATGCCCCAGTATGCTGTAAATTGCTGTAATTTTGAAAGTACAGTGAATGCATCTACATGCATTGCGCATGAGAACATGTCCAATAAACATAAGGGTGGGACATGTCCAATTTTTAAGGTAGGTTGCTGATTTTTGTGCGTTGGAACAAAGAGAGGGGAAAGAAGGAGGTGGCAGTGGCTCACGATGGTTGTTAATTTTAGTGTATTGGGGTTGATGGAGGTGGCTGATGGTTAAGAGTGGAATTGAATCAGGTAATGTTTGTTTATAGTGAGAGAAGAGAAGAAATTGTTGACTTGGACAAAACCATGCTTGGAGGGGCTAACTAAGAAAAGGTAGATAAATTTACATAGAATGTAAATTAAGAGGCCGACCAAAACTAACATGAAATGAAGTAATTAAACACAACTTTAGAAAATTTAATATAGTAGGAAAATTTTCTTGAAACAGAAAAGAATGGACAAGAATTCATGTGGCTGTTCATATGGGGTGAAGCACGGATGATGATGACGATGTACGTATATGATTTTATCTACATATGTGTATACATGTACACACATAATCTTGTATTTATACACGCAAATGGATAGCTACCTGTGCAAGCGGTGCCAATGTCTTTCCAAAGAGCTACAAGTTAAATAGGTGAGGTGTCAACCACGCGCGATTTTCATATAAAATTCACACTTAGACGTTGTGCATGGCAATGGGGATTGAAATTGGAGGCACATATCAATTGGATAATATTGTGTTTGTGTTTTATTGTGCCTTTTTAGTGCTCTGAACTATTTAGGTAAACATGGAATCTATCCGATTTCTTTATGTAATGTTTTATTGTTCCTTTTTTAGTTCTCTGAACTATTCTAGATGAACAGGGAATTTATCTGATTTCATTGACCTTTCTCTGGACCAGCTCTTTGGTTAGTCACGTTTTAATGAATTCATTGCTGTAAGACAGAGAATGTGAATCATGCTTCGGTCATCATCATTTTGCATGTTTAATAGTCCGCTGTTTCATGAGATCATTAGGTTTACATAGTGATGTGCTAAGTACTTGATGCTTGATAGAAACTAGCAATCCATATGCACAGTAAACTTTACCTTCGAGCAGGTAGAGGATCAACCCGGCTAGCACGCTGGTTAGTTTTTTTGTCCCATTATTTCAATGCCCTGTTAGAAGTGAGAACAGCTAAGCCCGCCTCGTTATTCTATTCGGATATATTCTAAAGTCTGCACGTCACCTTAATCTCAATTGTCAACCATGTACTTAGGGCCTGGGGATTGTCCAACAAAAAGCTAATATTAATATACAACTTAGATTGTCTCATTCATTGTTCATGGTTGAACCATATTTAATGGACTTGATTCTGCCTACTATAAATGCTTTACAGAATTTTATTTGCTTTTTATGTGTTCAGTCAGTAAAATACTTGAGTCTAAGTAACAAGTTTCAATGAAACATGGACCTCAATAATTGATTGACGATATCTGATAATTGCTATGTACAGGTTACAGCAACAAGTGAAACAACCACCAGCAAGAGGTCAAGAAAGAAAAAGGTTGGTCTTATCTTTATAAGCTTGTTGAAGCCTTGAAGGTATTAATACTTGTCTGTAGGCGACATCCCACTTTTGTTGGGGCCATATATTGAAACTCAAGTTTTACAATGCAAATTATTGGGTGTGGTAAACCTTTTTGGACTTCCATGGAACATTTTTCCATATTTTTCTTGTTAAGTCCATTAAAAATTAGGAAAAATTGTATGTGAATTATCAATTTCATATTCTGTTTTGTGACATACTTATATGGAGCCACCAAATGTTAATCCCGCCTTATGTGTTTTTCGTATGGCCATTGGTGGTTTCCAAGCTGTGAAATCATCCTCAGTGGCTTCAGCATGTACCTTGTAGTCTAACAATCTTTCGACCAGCAAAATTTTTCTGTCATATTACATCCCCTAAAATCTTGGGGGGGAGATCATGGTTCACAGTCGCGGTCATGGCCGCAAACGCGGGGCCCGTATACAGAATCAGTTATTGTAGTTATGAGGTTTTTTTTTTAACCTTGTATATAGGGTCCAAAATGAGTCAATACGCCATTTAAAAAAATATATATAATTCAATATAGATGAATTTATTTTTTGTGAATTTTAGTAATTTTTATTATAGTTTTAAGACCATTTAACACAAGTAGTGGCCTATTCATGAATTCTAAATCATTGTTATTTTTAAAAATGGTTAGTAATTATACTTTAATAGATTTAAGCATGAAATACATGAAAATTCGTACTACATATTACATGTGTTAAAAAAAAATACTATATATATACATATAATACAAGTTAAAAGTACAATAAAATTATTAACCATACCATATATATTATATAACATGCATCATTTGTGGCCCCAAAGTTTATAACATTAAAAAAAATAAACAGTTATTTTCTTTTGGAAATTATAAACATAAATATTGGAGTAACATTAGCAGAAATACTATGTGCTCCGGTGGATGGCATTCCTTGACTTTAAAATTGTGCTAGGTTTTGAGTTTGACTCTACACTTTTGTTTAATTTTCTACTTTCTAGAAATAGTTAAATATTGGTGTTGCAGTATAATAACCAGACGTACATATGGAGCAACGGTTAAAGTCCTTTGATTGTTGAAACTTGCCAGAGATCGAATCTACCTAGCGGCAAGCAATCATTTTGTTTTAAGAAATAAAACCAGCTTCAAATGCTGGCCGGTTCAGTGGTGGAACTGGTCGTGGCCGAACCAGCCTATTCTTCAAAAGAATCGCTGGTCCGCGGCCGAACTGGCCGGTTCAATTGTGAAATCGGGGACACTCGCTGGTTCGGCCACAATCGGTTCCATTGTGAAAACGAGGACACTCCGATATATCGGAGAGTACTGGTATCGGTACTCCCAATTTCCGAACCATGGGGAAGATACTCGTTTCCGCAAATAGAAAAAATTGTTGCTATTGCCTGATTGGATGTCGCTCTTATTAATGTTTTTTTTCCCTCTGTTTGCAGACATTGGCTGAACTTAAAGAAGAGGAGACCTTGCTATTAAAGGAAAGAAAGCATTTGAAGAGGGTATGGTTCTTTAAACTTCTTTGCCAAGTCATCCAGATTTTCCTAATTGGCAATACCTGAATATTGAATTCTAAATTACCTGGCCGAGCAGGAATTGGCAACCTTGCGTGTCACTTTGGAGAAACAGAGAGTCACTAATGAAAATTTGAAGAGATTGAAGGTGATAATATGCCTAATTTATTCTCCATCTTATCTTGTTCTTATTGACCTATTAGATTCACAGTTCTTTTTATCCATTTCAGTGGCTTTAGATCTTCATAAATGTATATTTAATTGTTTCAGTAATCAGAATAACTAATATATTAGCATTTGTGTGTGTATATGTATATATATTATGTGTATATCAATGCCCTTTATGGGCTAGAATGGGAACTTTTGATCGAGGGAAACACATGCAAACATGTGTCCTAAACTAGTTTTCACACTCCGAAAGTTCAGAATTTCCTGTGTGTTATTTTGCTACATTAATAGATACAATATCAGAATAGTATAAGTTTATTCTTATATTATTTTCTTAAAAAAATTGACATGAGATCTTGAAAGGGCAATCAAGCTCATTAAGCTATTGCTTACAAATACACAACTCAATTAATAGGATGTATTATTTGATGTAAATGACTGAAAATGAAAATAATTATACTTTTAGCCATTATATTATAGAAATATCATTCATTCCATTATTAGTTTTTGCAAATTGCTGAATCTGACACCTCATAACCTTGTAACAGTCGGACGCATAGCAGTTCTATATAATTTATATGTTATATCTAAATCTTTATCAGTACCTGGTTTAGTAATTAATACAATTGATTAACAACTTCTAGTTCATTTAATCGATGCAAGTATAAATGATTTCGTGAATGAATCATGGCGAACTGCCGTCAGTCAATGTCCACTAACGTTGTTTGCCAACCAGTTAAAGCAATTCTATAATTTTTCATCTCCTAACTTCATATCTTGAAGAGATGCTTATGGCTTGTGAGTTCTTGACACAATTGGAATCCTAGTAAGAATTTCATCAAATTATTTTGTCTCTATTGTTCTGAGCAATAGGTCCTCTTTGGAAAGCACAATTCATCATGTTGTTTTACATGTGGATTAAAATTTTGATTAATTGTCAAAGTGATGCACTTCAAAAGTAGAAACTGATGGGTTAAATTTTGGAAGACTTAGTACAACAAGTGCTTTCACAGGTTTTCTGTTTTTTATTTATTTATTTTTATCTATTTGCTTTTAGTACTATTTTTGATGGGCTTTTATTGCATCCTGTATTTGTTATTTCACTTCTTTTAACTTTGAATCAAGGTTTAAGATTTAACTTGAATTGTCTAGCTGAATGTCAAAATGAATAATTGTAAAGGTAAAGATTAAAGTGCTTTAAGTTGAGAATCTCGATTAATATATTTTTGTCTTTCTACCATTTTATTTGTAAAAGTAACTCTAGTTTTGGTAGTTTGTAAGAATTAAGCATGTGACACTACTTTCTCCTTAGTGCTTCCATCACTTAATCACAAGCAAGTAAAATGAACCTTTTTGCATCAGTGAAACAGCTATAAAAGTTGAATTAGAAAGCGATATAACTTTGTTCTACTGAGTGCACTGAAATGTAATGCACTTAATCTGGCGTTCCTGTTCTCAGTTTGATGAGTTATGCCCATGTTGTTTGCCTAAACTTGTGCAAAATAATGCGATGTGTACTATCTTGTATTTATTTGTACCAGACATCCAACAAAAAAATAGATTTAATCCAAGGAGTATGAAAAGATTCTTAGCAGAACTTGTCTTTGATGAGAGTTTAGGGATTCAAATCCAGTGTGGAAGTAACCATACCTCCTCATAGCATAGTTGAGTTGTTCCTTGCTTTGCCACGTCAAAAATATGCTTAAGATATTAAGTAATATTTTATAAGGAACAGCTCACTTGCATTTTATTGATGTGGCTCATCATGAGAGGTTCATTTCATGTAAAAATGCAGTTGCTTCCTCAACAAAAGCACCTGCTCTTTGGTTTAGTGCTAGACAGATTTACTCCCGTTAGGATCCTTGATTTTGAATATGTAGGACTTAAAAGATACTCGTCTGTCTTCCATAATGATACCGTTCTGATATATGCTATAAGATGAAATCTGCCAGTTGTCTACCTTGCTGCAAACATTCACCTGTCTGCGGTGAAGCACCTCTTCTTCAGGATTAACATTTTCTTATCTTGCGACTATCTCACATGTTTGGGTGCTTTTTACAACATTTCGTATTTCAGAGCAATACAATTGCCTAGCTGGTCTTAACGGTGCTCTAGGGCGTTAGGCAACTGTAAGTACAAATCTGTTCAATGATGCCTTCATAAGAGAATTTCACTTGGGTACTTTGCCTCGCAAATATGACATTTCCTAGGTAACTCAGAGGCATAAACTCTGTTGAGTTTAATTCATGTCTGATACAGCAAAAACATCCGATGAAGAACCCCCTTTCTATATAGGTGGTAGAAAATGTTTTGTTCACTTGTAATTTGATGAAGTCAATTAACTGAACATTAAGTAACTTAAACTAAGTTGTATGATACTTGTTGTTTGACTAGCGACTAGCATCGATGCTTTCATGTGGGTGCATTATCATCGCAGTTGGAAGTACAAAAAAGAACTGTTTTGTTGCTTGGTTAGGACCTAGGAATTGCTTACGGTTGGGCTTTTCCTTTCATGACACATTTGCAACTCATGCCACACCACAATAAATGGCATTTATCTGTTAAGTATTATTTTTCATATCTAAGTTTGTCACTGTTATAACTTCTACATCTAACTTATACAGGGTAGGCACTACATATAAATCAATAGAATTTGACAAAATTTTCCTTTTATAACAGCTTGATTTGCCAGCACAGCCTGTAGCAAAAATAGTTGGTGCAGTTGCAACCGAGGGAGCAATATCTGACCAGCAAGTCCAGCAAAATGTTGCATCTTGTGACTCCATTCCTTCAATCCTGCCACCAAGTGTCACAGGAAAAGCTCTTGATGCTTTACGAGAACCCTTTTCTCCTCCGAAGAGTTTGTCCGTAGTACAGGAGGAGGTCGTGGAGAAAGAGAGCATGTTTATGCTCCCTGATCTAAATCTACCTCTCGAGGAGGATTCCAGCACTACTGAGGTTCTACATGGAATAAGCTAATAAGAGGGATATATTTTCGAAATGATTATGAGGAAAAAAACGATGAAGGGAATTTATACTCAATAAATGCTAACTTTGTTTAGGATGAATATAATTGTAATTGTAGTAATAGAGACTAGTAGACCAATTTACCTTCACCACTTTCGAAACTGAAAGTGGAAGTATGTTGTTTTTTTAATTCATGAAGGTACTGAGGGTAGTGTAGAGATCCTAACCCTTTAGGTGCAGAGTCACATTTTTTGTTGTTGCAGATTTCTACATTTGTCCGAAATTCTTTGAGGCCAAGCCAACCCTCATTCCTTCTATTTCCTTTCTGGAAATATTTACAGATAAGATGTAATCTTTATATACATAATCAGAGACTTTGTTACTTTCACAAGTAATGTGACATATTTTCTTATTCTGTCCTCTGCATTCGCTTTGGTAATTTACAGGTTTTGGCTCGTCTCGGTTCAAAACCAAGAAGTGGGCCTGTGAGTCTCTCTTGGGTCCCTGTGAACTGCAATGGAGTTTGCTGCTGTAACAATCGTGAGCCGGCGGTGCGCGTGTGTGTGTGTGTGAGAGAGAGAGAGAGAGAGAGAGAGAGAGAGTTATGAATAAATGATATTGAAGTATGCTACTTGAAGGAGTAACAAATTACAGAAAATGTGTAGGAACTCCAAATGGGGGGCATAATAGTGATAGGTACTGGAAAAGTGAATGGATATGAATCCATGTTTTCCTTTGGGTTTATGTGAATCATATTCACAAAGATGGCAATATCAAAGAAATTTGAAAATGGTCCGAACAAAAAGGAGATAAAACAAGTGATTACATTGCCAAGGGCTTTGTGCCTGTATCTCCTCTAAAGTGGATAGAGTTCGAGTTTTCAGAGGAGGAGCAGTGGTGTGTGTTATCTTTGGAAGATAGCGTGGGGTGGATGTGATATTATACGTTGGAATGAATAGTAAAAAAATGAATATAATAATATTTTTTTCTTATTTGGTTGGAAGAAAAAAAAAGAGATTTTATATTCTTTTTGTTAATATACCTTTATTATATACAATTATAAAAATTAGATATTCATTATAAATTTTTGAAAAAGTTATAAATAAAAATTACTTAATAGTTATTAGTTATATATATATTTTTTAACTCTCTCCTCTTCCTTTCAATTTTTCCCTTTAGCCAAATGTGAAAACATTCTTATATACCCCTCTTATTCATCCCTACTCAATCATACCCTCCAACCAAAACATATCATTTATTTATAACATTTCCATTTTTTAAAAACTATTCCACAAAGTAAAAGAATGCAGAATAGGGTTTAAAGAGTGTTGAGGAAAATTAAGACCCGACAAAGTTGAAAAAAATTAAAAATTTGTTACAGCTTTTTTGTATACAATTATTTGTCAATGGAAGTTATCCTTATTTTAAATTATATTATTAACATGAGTGTGAATACATTTAAAAAAAAAAAAAAAAAAAAAAAAAAAAAAAAAAACCTTGGCAAAAATTCAGTCACATTGCCTACTTGAGAACTTCTATAGACAACAGCCCTTGGTTGGATCTGAGAGTGTGAATAAATTAAGTAGTTAAATTCTTTAAAAATAAAAAAACTTTCAATATGTACTACTGTTCAAAAAAGTAAGGTGTATTATAGTAAAAAGAAGTGAAAATGTAATAATAATAATAAAAAATGAAATGTATCTAATCATTTGTCATTTTGTGAGTTCTTCTATCAATCAAACCTTTTTGCTGGGATTCCGCTCCCCTGTCTTCAGAAATTGTATCTCTCTTCTCTCTCTCATATTCATTTGATTTTCATAAAAGTCAATTAAAAATAGGGTGTTTATTACGTACTTCATTAATGATTGAAAAAAATAAATAATATAATAATCACATAATGATGAGATTTCCATGTCATTTCAAACTTCCACAAGTACCTACTATACTATATTTGTATGCAAGTCTTTGAAGCTGAGTCAGCAGCACTCATTTAGTCCCTTACTAATTTAGAAAAGGCTCTTAGACCATCTCTAATAATAAAAATTATTTTCGCATGTTAAATTTATATTTTGACAAATATCATAGTGTCAAAATATTATATTTTAATAATTTTATTTTAATAGTGCATTTCATGCAAAATGTCATTTTTTAATACAATTACTATTCTTTTTCAACTATCATTCATATTTACATCAGTAATATTAATTTTAGACATATTTCAAGTCAAGTTGTAAACATTAGAAGGAAATAACAATTAAACCTAATTTAAAAGAAGTAAAAATCTAAAATATCTAGTAAAAAAAGAAACATATATATATATATATATATATATATGTATAAATTTATATATTTGATTATATTATTATATAATTTTTTTTTCTTTTTTGAAAATTTATACATATATATATATATATATATGGATATTATATATATTTGATTATATTATTATTAAAAATATATATTTATTTAGGGCAAATCATTTCAGCCTCCCCAATCGCCTCCATCTCTATTCTTGTTCTCAACTTTGAAATTACCGCCCCTCTCTCTCTCTCTCTTTGTGCATCTGCAAACTACAAAATCAACAAGACTCAGAAGTTTAAAACCCATATCTTTCAGTTTCCATCGCCCGCTGTTCCAGTTCGGGTTTGCCGTTCGCAAGCTTCAACCGCTGTCTTTCAACTCTCAAGTTTGCACCCCTCTCTCTTTGCAACTTCGTATCACAACCTCCGACATTGACTCTTCTATTCGCACCTATTTTGTTCATCTCCCCATCACACCAAAAACACATAATATGGTAAAAACGGCAACGTAGGATTGGAGATCGAGGTCCATCAGTTTCCGTCGCACCTATTCCAGTCAGGCCAGCTTCGCAAAAGAGGGTTACTGAGGACGTGAGAAGGAACGACAACGTAGGATTGGAGATCGAGGTCCATTAGTAACCCTCTTTTCATCATCGATTGTCTTCCTCTAGTTCAGATCGGCTGATTTCCCGGAACTTTTCTCTCTCTATATTGCAACAGACGAGGCAAAAAGAGAGAGATGTGAGTTTCAGATTGTGATTCCAAATGGCATCGTATTGGCAAATGAGAGACTTGTCAAAAAAAATTGGCAGCTGCTACATATGAGAGAAGATTTGAGAATCTCAAAATTTGAGAGCTCAAATGAAAGCCCATTGGAGAGGGTTTTTTTTACCCAACTCTCATATTTTGAATTTGAAAGCTGAAATGAGAAAGCATTGGAGATGCTCTTACATAGTCACATAACTAAGCTATATATTATACTGACTCAATACTTAAACCTAAATTTACTCTACAAGATATACAATCATAGACACTAAATTTTTAATGGACTTTTGTTTTAACAAATTGACTTATTAAATATGGGTCAATATTTAATTAAGTTATTTAATTGACCCAAACTTGATTCACTTAAAATTATTTAATTAGCCCAGCCCAGATGATTAAATGGAAAGATAATTATTCCTAATAAAATATATTTAGAATAATTATTTTTAAGGATAATTATTATAATATAATCGGTCCGGTCCAGTTATGATTTTATCCTTATCAGGAGAGGCACGTGTCATCATCCTATTAATCCAAAAAACTTATAAATAGAGGCCTGTAGGAAGAAGGAAGACACACAAATTCAGAAATTCAGAGTCCAGAATATTCAGAGACTCAGAAATCCAGTGGGCAAACTTGAAGGCGAAGAACACCAAGCACATCCAAAGTTGTGCCGTTCTTCACCAAATTCAACAAATCCCCTCGTAACAAGCACATCAAATCGTACTATTCTTCATCCAAATTCCACGGTAATCAACAACAAACACATCAAATTGTGCTGTTCTTCATTCAAATTCCATAGTGATCAACAAAAGCACATCAAATTGTACCGTTCTTCATCCAAATTTCACGGTAATTCAAGATCAAGCTCGTGCAGTCCTTGAATCCAACCAACAAAAAAAAGGAGATCGAATAAGAGGACCTTATTCTTTATAAAGAATATTACAGAGGATTGTACTCTAATTTTTTTTATTTAATAAAATATTATTTTTACTTCATATTTTGTTCTTATTTGCAGTCCGCAGAATTTGTACAACAATATTAGATTGCTTATGTCCTCTCTCCAAACACTAGAGCAGTGAAACTCTCCAATGAGCTAGCCATTTTAATAAATTATAATATTTTTTAATGAATTATTGTAAATTAAATTTTTTTTTTTAGAAATTTAATGATCATACCGTAACTTGCAGTCGTGGTATGGATAAATGTTTGAAACAAAATAGTACTCTCCCTCTTCTAAAAAAGATGTTCTATTTAAAAAATTACGTGACTCACAAATAAAAAAATTAATTTGAGACAGAAGTGGTATAAACTAGTCGAGAATCTTTGAAAGAGAAAAAAGAAAAATAATCATGGGACTGAGATTGTTGAGGAAGGGAGTAGTAGTAGTACTGTACACCTGTGCGCATAAAATCGAAATTGATACTGTGGGGACTGTACAAATCACGCAGTACTATTAGAGTCAGTTGCAGTGGAGTACTACTAGTCTCCCAGTACTAGTTTGTGATGCAAATAGTATCTACTTGTACTTCTCTCTGTGTCTCTTAATTTGTATACTCCAATATATATATCTGTATATATGTATATCGACAAACGTACACACACATAATAGTATGTCTGTGTGTGCAAACGCACATATCCCCTCCCACAAAACACTCGCTCTCTCAACTTTCAAGTGTTTCAACCCACCCGCCTTTCCTGGGTGGGTTACTTCTGCAAATAAAGCCATGAAAGTGATTCATTCACAGTAGAAGTTGCAGTGGGGCTGGACCTCGCTTTTTGTACTTGCCCCATGCATGGGATCTATTTTGAACTACTAGTGCTGCTCGGGACTAAAAAGCTCGTGCTCTATATTAGCCTTGTACAATTTTGCATGAATTGCGAAACACCTTTACTACTTTTTCCCTTTATTATTAATTAATTTATTTATGTACTTTTTTTTTTTTTTTCGTAAGTTATTTATTTATGTACTTACTCTTTCCTTCCTAGATTAAAGTGTCCCAGATTAGTTAATAATGTGAATCACAATTTTCTCAGAGTTAATTTGAGACGGAAAGAATACTAATTAATTAGTTTCTCAAAATTATTTTGCATCAATCAACAAAATTACATATATTCAACAATACCATCATAATTAAACTTATCCCAAGATAATTATACTATATAGATATATGCTTGCCTCCAAAATCCATACATGTAAACTGACCTCAAATACGTACTCATAATTAATTTACATACAAACAACCCATAATTTTTCAACATGCATGCAAAAAATTAAGAGAGGCAACAAAAGTTATATCAGTAAGTACATCCTGTAAAACATTATGCATGCCAAGAAACTAGTACTCTATCATATATATATATATATATATACATAATTATATATATACATACTACTATAACATGTATGTCATGTGTGTATATATATATCATTAAAAAAAAAAAAAAAAAAAAAAAAAAAAAAAAAAACTGGTATACGAAGATTAAGCACATGAACCCTAGAGAGAGAAATTGATAACATAAGATACTATATATATATTTTACGGAGTAGTTAATAGGACTTGCTACTACATTTTCGATCTATCATTCAACAACCCTTACTCATGGGCTGTTACTATCACGCATCTAAATATAACCCAACATTTTCCTGCTTGCATGTTACTTTATGGAACAAACATATATATATATATATATATATAGTTATATAATCACAGCCCATGAGTAAGAACATAGCAGTACTAAGTCCAAAAAGCTACAAACTAACACAGATCATATAGTTGATGCAACCACCATTGATTCCTTAGCTCTCTCACTAAAACCACCAATATTACCACCACCAACAACCTCCAAACCAACATTCCTTCTAGCTTCATTCATACTAGCACCAGAACTGAACAGATGAGCAACACAAGTCACCACTGCGCACTTCTTGCTATTATGCGCCATGGACGCCTTATGCTGATGATCCGTCTTCTTCTTCTTATTCTTATTCACCATCTCCGACGAAGACGACCCTGAGGACGACGTTGTTGGAGACGACACCGTCACCGGCACCACCGACGGAATGTCAAAGTTGGTGCGAGCCTTCGAACCCCTCAGCCGCCTCGCCGCCGCGTCGTAGGCTCTCGCCGCCTCCTCCGCGGTGTCGAACGTCCCCAGCCAGTGGCGGCACCGCCCGATACGGTCCCGTATCTCCGCCGACCACCTCCCCCACGGCCTCTTTCTCACTCCTCTGTAGCTCTTCTGCACCGAAACGCCGCCATTAACACCACCCACCACCACCGTCTCCGACGTTTCTGACCCGGAACGATTGGAGTCGGGTACCAAACCCGACTTATCAGAAGCCTCATTTTTACTGTTATCACCGCCTCCGAACAGGACGTGTTGTCCAACAATGGCTCCGATCCCTTCAAGAACCGGATGGGTTTCGGGTTCTTTAAACTCAAAAGCTGATAAATCGAACGAAACGTCGTTTGAAACGGGTCTGAACCTAGGTGGGTCGATCAGTTTAGGAGCTGAGACCGGAGAGAAACAGAGAAAAGAAGACCCAAAAACAGGCAATTCATTGAACAAACTCAGCGGTGATTCGGATCTGGGTTGGAACATTTCGGACTTAGGAGGAAAGAAGGAAACGTTTCGACAAGTTTCGTTGTTCATTGAAGCGTTATTATTCTGATCACTCTGTGTTTTGAAACTCAGACGGAGAAGACGAAGACATTCTTGGGGACCCATAGACCCGCATATTCACATTTTATACAACCTCAAAACAAAATAAAATATAATTTAATTAAATAAGAAGTAGTAATTATTAATTTATTAAAAAAACAAGATTTTATTGAGAATTTAGATATTCCTGTCAAATTCGATGCGACCTCAAAGCCCCCACATTTATATATGTTGGTAAGGAATATACGCATCTGAATTGACAAAGTTACCCGTCTCCTTACATACAATTGGCGTATTGGGTATTTTTTCTAGAAGGGTAGGGGTGTCTTTACAGAAGAAGTGAGGGGTTTAAAAGGGGTTTGGATGATCTCGAGAATGTGATAGCTTGATAGCCGTTGGATTGCGTGACTTGTAGTAGCTAAGCGTCAGGATTGCGTCAAATAGAAAAGATCGTTTGACTGTTTAGCCTTAGCTGGATGGCCTAAAATTGATAATGGCTTGCTTTTAACCAGAAAGAGAGAGAGAGAGTGATGTTTGGGTGTTGCAGAGGTGCATGAGAGTGACCGTGTGGAGCTGTTTATTGACCGCTATGTAAGACGGGGACGTTCTGATGTGGTGACGTTAGGGTTTGATCAGTGGCGTGCATGGGCACATGAAAGGTTGTGATCACGTCAATCATGTGGTTGCTTGGTCCCACTAATTAATTACAAGTAATAGTGGTGGTGGTGAAAATCTGAACAATGTTGATCTGGACCGTGTAAATCTTTTGGGGTGATGTAAAAGGGACCCTTTGATGGTCTTGTTAACTTGCAGTGTGGGTATGATCTCTGTGGCTCTGTGTGTTGACGTGGCTGATTCTGATTGGCTCTTTCTCCAGTTTTACTTCTTTCTGTTTCTATCCTCTGGCTTTAATTAAGTTCTTTTCCTAGGAAAATCCAGGCTATAATAATTGAATACAACGTTATTATCCAATCCAATAAGTTTAAATTTTCAACTATGAAATCATATTTGTTGTGAGGTTGTGTTCTTCTGGTGATTAAGTTATTAAGTTACTTTCTTTGTTTTGAAGTCCGTATTCAAGTATTGGCTAATCATGTAATTTTCTTAAGAAGAAGTTGAGGTTGGTGATAAAAAGTGCAAGTACTTGATTAAAGAAAAAAAATATAAATTTATTCTTGTAATATTAAAAAAAGATAAGAGGGTATATTATTTATTTATTTTTCTCTTAAATATTTTATTTGAGTGGTTACTTGTTTTTATTGAGCTATGTATTCAGTTTTATTGGATTCATTTATATTGACCTGTTTATTCTATTTTATTGCAAACGACCATTTATTTATTTATTTTGGATGCATTCTACCACTAGCAAAGTGGTACTCTTACTTTCTCTGCAAAATATGCATATATGTGTGTGTGTGTGTGTGTGTGTGTGTGTGTGTGGGGTTAATTGCATAAAATCTCAATGAACTATAGAAAACTTGCACTAGCACCCCTTTGTAATAAATGTTTTACATACAACTACCTTAAAAGAACAAAAATTTTGCAAGATATCTCATTTGGTCAAATTACTATTAAAAAAAAGTTGAGACTTTTAAAATATCCTTCTTTACCTTTCAGATTAATTTGCATAAAATTTCCCTAAACAATAAAAAATTACACAAATTCCTTGTTCTAGGGGTAAAGTGTAAATTTCTTATTGCTCATGAGAGTTTTGTGCAATTAATCTCAAGGGTAATTTATTAATTTTCAAAACACATTCAATGGGTCACCTGTCCCTAGTCAGATTGGCAGTCAACAGGCATAAAAAATTTTATAATTCATTGAAAAATTAATCTTATGTTGTGTTTCTCTGTATATAATTGGTGTTTTAAATCTAAAATTGTAAAAAATTTAGTTTAAAATATTAACTAAATTTATTTCAATTTTAAATTTAAGCCGTCGGCAGGCATAAAGAATTAGGTCATGTTTCTTTAGGGATTCACAATGCATAGAAAATATATTATAGTTGGTAAATGGATCATATATAGTCTTATATGTAAGAAATTGTACAAAAGTGCACTAAACATTTATTAACTATCAAGTTATTGCATTATGCACCCCTCAACTCTCACAGATCCTCGCTTGAGTCCGTTAACTCTCGCAAGGACTCACATTGCACCCTTTAACCAATTGAGTTTGTTGGAGACGATAATACATTATTAATTGGTGGTGGTGGTGGGGGTTGTTTTAATGGGCATAGTTCGAAGGTGGTGGTGGAAGTGGTCCACTCTAATATGACAATTAAAGCAACATCCCGCAAGGAACAAAAGAGAATGTCGGTCTATAACATTCTAATTACACACCTTCATCTCTCATTTATATATATATACACACACACACAAACATATAAATGTATATATATATATATATATATAGACAAAGAAGAGTAGAGAAGGGGTGTGTGTTTGAGAAAAAGTGTGTTTCCCGGTGTAGAGCAATGTAGCACGCGAGGAGTTTTAGTGTTTCTACACACACAAGTCTTTGGACTGAGAGACTAATCTCTTGTTGCAAGGAGAGACATATATGTATAGAGATGGACCATATATATTGATATTGGGCTCTGGGAAAGATTGCATGGAGAAAGAGGTAAGAGAAAATCCTGAAAAGAAACAAGACAAAGAAAGAATGTTATCATGATATCTTTATTATCATCTTTGTACTTCTTGGTGATACTATGTAGTAAATAGTAATTAATTGAATATACATATATATGTATATATATATGTTTATGTCAGTGGGAGTCCCTGTTTAATTGCAAAGTTTGATGGCTCATTGGAAATGTAAAGTGTCCAAAAACCGCAACCTCACCTTTTGTATCTTCTGTTTTTGAGTCATTGATGTGTCCACTTTTGAATATTCTTTCTTACTCTTTGTTTCCTTTTCATGAGAATGGTAATTTACAGGAACAACTGATGAACAGAGGTCAAACCAAAATATCTCTCTTTGAAGTGTGCTTCATTGGCCTACATTAGTGTCACCCACGTGCATGCAGTGTTAGACTTAAGAGACATGTACTGTTAGGTCTATTTGACATGTGTTTTATTTTTACTGTTTTTATTTTTTAATTATTACAATATTAATTTTAGCATTAAAAGCATATTTGGTGTGCCTTTGTTTTATTTTATATAGTGTTATAATATTTCGTGAATAGTGGTCCAAAAATAAAATATAAAAAATATATATTTTTTTGTTTTGACAACTATTCATAATCCAAAATCATAACTGTCATGTTTCTGTTTCCAACATTTCTACAGCAAAATATCCTTTCCAAATGTATTTCAAAATTTTTTTTTTTCAAAACACTCTTACAGCAAAAACACTATTTTTGTTTTAGTTAAAAACAAAATGCTTAAAACAAAATACATGCCAAACGGGCCCTTAGTTTTTAGAGTTTGGAGCCTTGGAAGGTAACTTGGACTAAAATTCTCTCCACGAAATAGTGTCATGTGCTCTCCAGTTAGTGATACACGTTATGAAAATATTATAATATTTAGTTTTGTATTAAAATATTTTCGTAACGTACATTACTAATTGGAATAAACATAACAAATATTTCACAGGAGAGAATTTTGATCCAGTGAATGGATCAAAATCTCTCTCTTGCACGGAGTTGCACTACAGTCTACCGATTCCGGTCGGTGAATTAAACTGAATCGTAAAATTCAAAAAGGTAAAAAATTGAAAACCAAAAGTTTTGTATTAGGATGCCTTGTATACATACCGGACCACCACTGCCCCCTTTTGAAATCTCATACTCTGTTTTCTTCTTTACCTCAACTTTCACTCTACTATTTTATCAATCAAAACCAGACCAATTTCTGACTAGTTTTTTTTTTCCTCTATACACTCTTTCTCTGCACAAGCCCAAGGGAGTAGTGATTACAAAGTTAACTCAGCTAAAGCAAAACCATAGCTCTTTCAAGCTTTATGACATACCCTACACAAGTTTATTGATATTACATTTGGTGCAGCTTGCGATGTGAATAAATTTGAGATATCTACAAAAATAAATCTTTTTACTTATTTTCACCGACCACATCACTCTGAAATTGTTGGGTTATCAAGTCACAAAAAATAACATGTGATATAAGTTGTGAAAAGTTGAGATATCATGTATAATTCGAGTTTAAAACATTTTATATTTAAATTGTGATGTCGTTCTGAACATGTTTATTTGATATCATGTTTGATTCATGATATATTTTTTATCCAAGTCACATGATACACGTTACGAGAAAGTTGAGGTATTACATATAAATCACGTTTGAAATAGGTCGTTTAAATTGTTATGGTAAAGGTTTTATGTTATACATGATAGGAGAAAATTGGAATGTCACATATAATTCGTGTTTGAAATAGGTCGTTTAAATTGTTATGGTAAAGGTTTTATGTTATACATGATAGGAGAAAATTGAAATGTCACATATAATTCGTGTTTGAAATAAGTTATGCTTAAGTTGTTATGTTAAAGGCTTTGTATACTTGTATGCATACATTCACTAATTGAAAGTAACTCAGTGAAATTTATGTTTCATTGTTGAGTTTACTGCATCACAGGAGAGGATTTTTATCTGGAAACATAGGCCTCATTGGGACTTAATGGGGAACCCAAGTCTCTGGATGAGGCTAATCAAAATTATGGTCCTCGGGCTCAAATTTTGGGAAAAGGCCCACCTAATATTGCCCCAACTCTATTTCAAACTCCGGATTTTTAAAAGGAAGAAAAAAAAAAAAAAAAAGAGTAAAAGAAAAGGAGAAGAAAAATGGTATCTTTTGGCAATAACATTGAAAATCTTAATTGATAATAAACAAATTTTGCTATAACCGAAAATTCAAGACCCTATCAATAATAGTAAATCTATACCAACTGGATAATAAAGACATGTTATAATATAGATATTCTGTCTTATAATTGGTAGTAATTAAAAATCACGCCGTACTAAATCTGAAAGATTATATATGTAATCTATTTAATATGGTCCCGCAAGTTAAAAAAGTTGGTTCAATAAACTAAATGAAACTTAAACAAGGCAAACAATGGAAGAGTTGATTCCACCGAGAGCACACAGGGACTCTTTTAACTTGTAGAGTTGTAGTAGACAACACTCTACATTGCTTAATATTAGAATCACAAAAGATCCCCATATGTATGTGAAGCTTTTACAACATCCCAAACAACAAACCCTTAAATTGACTTATCTTATCCTAGTTTGAGTTACCTTCATCAAGTACTGGGAAACATTTAAGCAGGATCTCAGCTGCAGAGTCCAATTCCTGCTCTGAGATGATTAATGGCGGCACAAGCCGAACAACGTTTCCTTTCCCTGCAGTTAGTATAAGAAGTCCAGAATTTCGACATGCATCCACAAGTGGCGAGGCAGATACATCCAGCTCTATTCCGATAATAAGCCCCAGACCTCGTATTTCTTTCACATGTGAATTTCCTCCTAGCTTCTGCATTAGCATTTCCTTTAAGTACAGACCTTTCTTGGAGACACTGGCCAAGAAACTGGGCTTTGAGATTTTATCGAGAACGGCAGAGGCTGCATTGCAGACAAGGGGCCCACCAGCAAAAGTGCTTCCATGATCTCCAAAATTTACGGCAGCAGCAACTCTTTCAGTCACCAGTGTGGCTCCAATGGGCAGACCTCCAGCAAGAGGCTTGGCAAGAGTCATTATATCTGGGAATACACCATAGGCTTCATGTGCCCAAAGATAACCCGTTCGGCCTAAGCCACATTGAACCTAGGAACATAAAAAGATACAACATGCCTGTTAGTTGAATTATGATCAGAGCACATCACCTTCGTCACCATCATCCTCATCATCGCCCATACAAACAGGGTTGGAATTGGAGCACATCAATATCAACAAAAAGAAAAAGGAAAGAAGGCTAAATGAATGAATATGAGAAGATTGATCCAACTAGACTATTAAACTAATGCTGTTATCTATTACATTCTGCAACCTCTTCTTTCAAGGCAATATTAGATTGTTTCTTTTGCCAGATTATGACTTCTTTGCTACTAACTTCTGAGTTCATATAGAAACTATGCAACTTCATTTCCATCAGATCTGATGTGTTATTTGTAGTGTTTAATGTACTTGAACTATCATTCTAATTACAAGAAACAGTGGGACAACATGGTGGGCAGAATATTCCTTTTACAATTTCTCACAAAATTTGCTATCATGGTCCATTCCACAAATCATTTTTAAGAGTAGGATTGAGTTAGTTATTCACTGTTCATATGCTGGCATACAGGTCAATAAAAGCTGACAAGGGAATACCAACTTGTCTATGTTCTTTTGGTTTCTGATCAGTAATTTGTTTTCTACATTGCATTTATTGCTCTTCATGTCTTCCTTACAAATTGATTGAAGACAATGACCAATACAACAATCAAAACAAGCTAACATCAGAAACACACTAAGGCCTAATATTTGAAGAATCAAGAGTGGGGAAAAAAGGTTGAAGGAAATAATAGGGTTAGTTTTTGCACCCATATCTGTGATATGTGGATCTAAATGATACTACAATAACTGTTATAATGCCTCCAAGCAACTTTATTTCTACCTTTCAATGGTCCAGAACTTTGAATGCATAACCTGCCATGGTAGCAATCAACCAACCATCATCCTCCAACGCTAATATGAAGAAGAAAGGTAAGGTGGTCATATTGGGGAAAGGTGGTTGCTTTATATTCAGGTCTCCTTTTATTATTATTATTATTATTATTATTATTATATATATATAAGTAATTGATTTATATCAGAGCTTAGAGCTTCTGAAGAAAGGGGTCTCATTCACCACTCAGACAAAATAAAAAAAAAAAAAAAAAAAAAATGCAAGAAAGAATACAAGTTCTCCACCCCTACTCAAAACATTCCCCTCAACATATGCATACGAAAATTTATGTTCAATTAATCACACCAACCCTACATGAATTTACAACTTATCCATGAATGCGCTTGCTCCTTAGCCTAGCCTCACAACATTCATTAGCTAACTTCCCTTGAATTCTACATGACTCCAACAAAAGCACATGGATTTGAGATTCCACTTCCCTCACCACTTTCTCAGCCTTCACAGTTAATCCATTACACCCCTGTGAAACTGTGAGATGAAAATGCCATTACCTCATGTGGTACTGGGGAGTTTTGAATTGGGTAAATGTCTTTGGCATTATTTGCACAATTGGCTGCCTTTAAACTCAAACATGCATTTGACACTTGGCAGCCCAAGCTTCTACCATTATGGATGTACCAGACTATAACATTGAAAAGTTCTTACCACATGGCTAACACACAACTCTAAATTGAAAGAAACAAATGAACATCACATAAGCTTAAGAAAAGCTGGACTCCTATACAATAGCATAAAAATCGCACTTTAATCTTTCTCATTATGGAATAATCCAGCTTCCCAGAGAAATATATGCAAATATTCAACAGTGATTCTGGATCAAATTGGTTAAGCTTTTCCTCTGCAATCCTAGTACTCTTGGTAGCAGATTTTCCCAGTCACTTCACCAAAAATCTGTCACAGATTTCCCCTCAAGATTTAACCTCTCACACATCCAAAATACCTATTTGGTGACTTCTTTGGAAACTGGTTTGCAAAAACAAAAGTTGGCTCATCACCACCATCGAATTCCTTATAAATAAACGTGCCATCTTCCAGTTGTCAGGCTGTTAGAGCTTATCTTCTTTTACACCTAAAATGGACCAAATTTTTTTGCCTTAAGTTTGTAATAACTATAGCTATGGAATCTTTTACTTGAATGCACAAACACAAATTCCCCTTCGTTAAATACTCTAAATGCATATGTGGATCCCTACCCTTGTATATATACCTTATTGCTAGTTCACATATTTCCTTGTACAATAAGCATCACATGATCAGCAAAAGCCTCTCTATCCTTGTTCACCCTAGCATGCAAGGGAACAGGGTATAAATGTACTGCACCTTGGACTTCCCTATCCATATGACCTCGGTTCAATCCGTGACAACTTATCCCAAAGCATGGGCACAGGGTCTCTATGCCTTATTAACTCTGCCTACACTTTTTTAGGGTCGGTTCTCATTTATAAGGGGATGATGAGCTGTATGAGATCCAAACCATTCTTGTGAATGACCAAGGAAATGAGCACACAGTGATGGACACTCCGGTATAGACTATACTGAGTCAATCTTGAGAAAGTGAACAGTCACTATAATATTCACATGTACTGTTTTAAAGCATTCAGAAGAGAGCCTACACAATTTTTTGTTCTTGCCTATATATAACTCAAAATATTTACCCTGTTTTTACACTCATTATAAAGGGTTTGGGCTTGTGGAATAAGATTTACAAAGTAACGGGTATCATTTTATATCATAACAGATCTGATTTGTGACTGTTTTAAAACATAAAAGTCAAGAAAATTAAAGAACTTGAGAAAGAAGAAGAAGAAACTATAGAAACACCCCAGAATCATACAGACATAACATTTAGAACTAGAATTGTAGCAAACAATCCACAAAGAGCTTCGATTTCTGAAAATTTTCTAAAGCTATTCTGTTCAATTGAAAGCATCAAATAGTTCTATAAGGACTTCAAAATAATTTAACACAAGTATAAACTGAAATTTGTACAAGTGAAATCCACAAGTAAGGCTACTAACAACCACAAATCATATTTTTAATTAAACAATGACCCATGAACCAGAACTCCAGTCCATGACCAGCAAATTTAAAATTACCAAAATACCATCAATTCTTTAGATAATTGAAACATAGATAGCACTGGTCAGAAGAATAATGAAATGACCCGAAAACATACATAAATACTTAAATAGGACTCCCACAGGGTCTAAAACTCAACTATGCATAATCCCAAGTGGGTTCCGCTTTGGAATCATTCCAATTCCAGTAGTTATCTCTTCTTTGAGTTTGTTTGTTTGTTTGTTTGTTTTTTTTTCTTCTTGAAATTCTTTTTAGCTGCATCATTTTATGTGCATAACGATGTTTCTGTCTCGTGGTTAAAAGATATTGGTGACATACCAAAATATACATGCAACAATTAAAAGGGACATTATCCAGTTCTGGTCCCACTACAGGTCGTGGGGAGGGGGCACTCAAGATGACCTAATCTTTGGTATTTCACAAAGTGGCTGCTCTGAGGCTCGAACTCACACCAATGACAGTGATGTTAAAGTGTTAAACCATTGAACCAGGCAACAGCCGTTATAGATGCAATGATTATCTTCCAAAGATAGCTACTTACCTCATCAAAAACCAGCAGAGATCCTGCATCATCACATGCACTACGCAAGGATTGTAAGAACTCCTTTGTGGCACTGTATATGCCACCTTCACCCTGGATAGGTTCCACAAATACAGCAGCAATTTTGCCGCTTTGAATCAGTTCTTTTGCAGCTTGAATATTCCCGTATTCTAAGAATGTAACTCCGGGCATAACAGGTTCAAAAGGTGATCTGTAATGCTCTTTGCTTGTCAAGGCAAGAGCACCCATTGTTCTCCCATGGAAGCTATTGGTAAAGGAAATAAATTCTATCGGTGGCTGTTTTCCATCGGGATGTGAAGCTCTTTGGAATTTTCTAGCAAATTTAATAGCAGCTTCATTTGCTTCTGTTCCAGAATTTGAGAAAAATATGCGATCAGCAAAAGAACAAGCAACGAGACGCTCGGCAAGCTCCACCTGCGGCAACAAAACATTTACTTCTTTCAAAAAAACAGATATAAGAAGAATGCAGCAGTTCCATACATGTATCTTCACTGGTGGGTGTCAATGTGCCAAATTAACTATCACACACATTCTCAGAACCCAAATACAAGATTGAAAAGAGGATCACTCTGGCTATACCAACTACCAAGTGCTTAATTCAGAACATAAGCATGAATTTCCTTTGCATTAGTGTCACAAATAACAATACATGTATGCCCAATTCTCATCAAGCATTCAAAAGTTCATTCAAACTTGCTGATACAAATTCATTCAACAATGATAGACAGATAACAATTACACACACACACACGCACACATATATACATTGAAAAAGCGCTCACCTGTGGAATTGAGTAATACAGATTGCTGACATGTGTCAGCATATTCGCCTGCTCGGTAACAGCTCTGATCCAATCGCGATCCCCATGCCCGAGTGCATTCACAGCAATCCCGGACGACATGTCCAAATACTCCTGCCCATCAAGATCATACAGCTTACACCCTTTTCCACTCGAGAGCACAATCGGAGCCCTAGCATACGTCCCCACCAGAACCCTCCCTTCTGCCTCCATCATCCCCTTACTCCCAACCCCAAACCCTAATTTCCCTGAATTCCCCGAATCCGGTGCTCGCACGTCCACATTTACACAAGCAATGACTCTAGGAATCGAAAATCTTCCATTTCCAAGCGGAGTCGAACGGCCAAGATTGCTCAACGGCGAAACTGAATGGTTGTGAAAAAGATGAATTGAGCTCATGGTTCTTCGCAGTGTTTGATATTTGATGGTGTATGAGGTGGTTATGTAGATAGAATTGGGAAGAAAAGTCGGGGCTTTTAGGAGGGTGAAAGGGAAAGTTTGCAATAACTGGAAAGTGAAAAGAGAATTGGTACCAGTATGATATCTGTTTTTGAAGAAATTTCCACTAAACTGAGATTTGGAATTGGAAGAGAGAATCTTAAAAACTCATTTAGGGTTTTGAATTTTGTCTCGAGTGCTGGATGGGTTTGAAGAACTTAGAACTGAGAAGCTATATGCTGGTGTCTAGGGTTTAAGCGTGACCGTTGAAATTTCAAGCATGACAGTCGTCGCACAAATTCTTCAAAGGCTGCCGCTCTCCCTAATTATGTTTAACATTGACTCCGAATACATAATAAAAACTTGAATAAATTAAATTAAAATATATCCAATACATAATACAAACTTGAATAAATTAAATTAACCTCCCTTAAAATTTTATTTCTATTTGTCGATTTTGTAATTACATTTCTGTCTTTTTATATATATTTGATTTCTATAAGGATATGGTTAAAGTGAAAGGTAAATAAAAGTTACAAATGATTTGCATCAGAAATTTGGGGAAGCATTTTTCATACAAATTTTGAAAGAAATAAGTGTTATTTGACAAAAAAAAAAAAAAAAAAAAAAAATGGTATTTAAGTGCATATTAACGAAACCTAAAAACTTTCTAAAAATTGCAAATCTAAAACTGAATCTACAGTAAGAAAGCATTACAAATCATTGTCATATGGTTACTTCCTTCATAATAATAATATTATTAATTTTTTTTTTTGAATGAGTGGATAATATGAGAGGAGTAGGAGGAAGAGATTAGAATAACTTAGACAAAAAGAGTAAAAAATTGGATTAAATTATATGGATATACTGGATGTAGGTCCGATGATGCTTAACCAAAAAAAAAAAAGAAAATAATAATAACTAGAGATGATATGTTCTGCAATTATTTTTTGTCAAGAAACTCGTATCCTTATTTTATTGTCTGGAGGACCACACCCTAAAAGGGATGAGTCAAGAAAAAAAAGTTGATCGTGACACTCACAATACCTGCCATTGACAAAAACCATACATGTACAATGCTATTTGCTGTGCAGGGGTGTTGTATGGTTTGCAAGTAGTATTACATAAACAAAGTAATAGATAATCAAAACCAGATGATACTTACATACTTCTTGACATCAATGCTGGATTCTCAAATAAATTTTATATCATTATTGAGTTCAAAGGATCAAAACCCTCACACCAGAAGCTCTAAATGTCATTTAGATGCTCTGCTAAAATATATTAAAGGATAAGCAAAATAAATTTCTACTTGACGGAACCATCTTTAATAATAGAAAACAACTACTACTACTACTTTTCTGAATCAGGCAATGTGCCTAGAGTGGGTTTGCCGTGGACGGGTTTGAGAGGTTTAATTGGTCACATATTTCCTTATCGTCAAATAGCTTGGGGTTTCGCCTTCACTTAATTTAATTCTGGGTTTCACTAGCTGTGGTATCCTCTGGTTTATGGTCATGGTTTGATTTGTAGGATGCTGATTTAATGCCGGTAATAAGCTGAATGCAGGTGTTTGCAATGGGCCTTCTCTTAATTATTATTATTATTTATTTATTTATTTTTGTAAATGATTCTGTTCTTCTGGTTGTAAAGTTGAAATTACATTTTTGGCAAGAAAACTTTTCCTTTGGAGGCTTGCAGACTGAAGGGGGTTGGTTTTTTCTCTATTGATTTCTTAGACTCTTCAAGTTGTGATGTTATCATCTCGATACTTGATTCTATACCTCATGTACATGGGCTTTGTTATTATTGTTTTTCTTACTCTTAACAAAGCTTCATTTTTAAAAGAGTTCATTTGAGTTGATATTTTTCACTTCAATTATAGGGATGCTAATATATTATATCCAGCAAAAAGAAAAAGAAAAAAATCCCCCTTCCCCTCCACCACAAAAAAGAAGAAGAAGAAAAACCCTGCTTAATAGTGGTCTATGAATAGTTGAAATTAAAATATATGAAAAAGATTTACTTACCAAAAATTATTACATTAACAGGTAACCCTCCACAAATCTTATAAATAATTTAAATTCGGAATCTTTTAAGCTTTATTTTTTGTTTTGATAGGTGAGCAATGAAAACCACTCTTAGCAATGAGTTTTTGGATCCACTCTTAAGTTTTTAGTTCACTCTGGTAATTCGAAGTTGGTTTTGATTGGTGAGCAATGATGATTCAAGAGAGGAAGCACATACATTTGAGTTGGGCAGTCTAGATCTTATAAAAGTTATTTACTTTGCTATTGTGTTTAGATAAAAGCATTTGGTTCTCAATAATTTTCCTTCATTTTAAAAAACATAAATCCTACATTCTGCAATGAAACATTAACCTATAGTAACTGCAATGAAACAATGATGAAAAACATAATGGGCATTGCATTTCCCATTGTATGATACATCAATGGATTTCAACACAGGTTTTTTTTGGCTGGTAAAGTACATTTATTTGTATTGATAAAAATGGAGGGACAAAAGTTGATCTAAGGCTTTATCACTCTCATGGGATGCTCACAAACACCTTGATCACCATGTTCGCTAGATGAAAGTCTACTTACAAATAGCAATATTAAAATGAACCGACTATTTACACACACATGTATATATATGAATTATTTTCATAACCCCTCTAAATTATTGTCAATATATAATCTTCAAAGCTGTTAACTCTGTTTTTGCTCTTGTTTTGAGTATGCACAGTCCAGAAAAGTGACAAAAATGGTGTACAAAGTCGGTGTACGCAATAAATAATGGTAATAAAGATGGAGATTGGCTGCTTGAAAAAAGATAAATATATGTATATATATATACTGACCTTGGCTTGATTGGCAGCCTCCATCTGGGTTTTCTGGCCTAGGTAGGAGAAGTACTCGTGGCCTGGGACGTCGACCAGTTGTTTGACATTGGCATCATAGATGCGAAGGCCAAACTGATCGAGTTCGAGCTGAACTTTATCAAAAACCTCTTGCTTGAATGATTTGGTGCCGCGGAAGATCTCTTCCATGGTCATGGAGGCGGCGAGGACACGAGTCTCACCCTCGATGACACCTGGACGAGCTCTGTGACATGCGAGGAGCGTTTGTCATGGGTTGACATGAGCCTGGCATACCTTAACATGCTCTCATTACAGTCCACTTTGGGGCCGATGGTGAAGACCGCCGGGAGGATGAAGGGGAGCTTCTCGGCGCTCATGGCTTGGACTTGGAAGGTGTAGTTCACCGGAGTTAAGTCGACTTTGACCCACTTTTGGCCAGGCCATATCCACTTCTTCTTAGCAAGTACTATGTCTGGATCTGTGAAGAAAGATCCTGTGATGGCAAGCACCTCAGAGGGACCAGCTACGCGGTACACCATCTTGTTTGATTATTGATCGATCTAGAGAGGAAACAGTGTGTGTATGTATGCGTGAGAAAGAGAGAGAAACTGTGTATGTTAGAGAGCAATTACAGATACCTATATATAAAAGCATGTGTTTGTGTATACCTTGAATTGTAGAATTCTAACAGAAAAAGAAGACGTACGTCTCCTATTTGAGTTCTAATTCCATCTTTTGCCCAATTGCAGAACTCTCTAATAATATGAAAAAGAAAAGAAAGCCTCCTATTTGAATCCGAAATTGAGTCCATTCTCAGATGCAATTTTAGTGTTTGCAATAAGTCCGATGTGATTGAGTTGTAGTCCGGAGAAATCTGCTTATAAAGTTGCCCTTAGTTTCTTTCAAGATTGAGATGATTCCCTAATGAGGGAGGGCTTCAACATCAAGCTCTGGCTCACAAAGGCTATGGGCAAGCATTAAAAGTTCCTTCTTCCATGGAGATTTGGAAACTATCTCCCTTTCAGCACCAAAAGGCCTCTAGCCCAACGTATAACCTCCCCATCCTCAAAGAGGAGGGGAGGGATTCGAGCTCGGACGTGGATAAAAGCAGCAAAATATATCATATATGGAGCTCTCAACAGTACACTAATAGTCTTAAGATGGAAGCAATCCATCTAGAAATACATCCTGCCTACCTTTCATAGCCCCGAGTCCCCAACACATGCGCCACCTGATTACCTTCTCAGTGCACAATGATAGTCATAAGCATTGAAAAGTGCAGCCATTCTAAATTTCTAATATCCAGAACAACTAAGCCATTCTCCATTGGACTTGCTTTAAAAATTTTTACGCCCTAACCACAATCTGAGAATCAGTCCCAAAAACCACTTGATTAAGACCCCATTCACGAGCCAGAGTCACACTGCCTTTTTCAATCTCAGGCTTACAGGAAGGTTAAAAAAAAAAATATGAAAAAGAAGTGAAAATAGGCAATGAAACTATCAAAACGAGCAGGTATGCAATCACATGTTATGGTGGTGCCACATGTTTCCATTCGGTTTCACAGTACCAACAGTTGGAGTTCTAGTTCTAATTTTTTAGAAACCTCTGGACTAAGTTTGGTTTTGATTTAGATCAAAACCAGACCAATCCGAACCATGTGCATTCCTATCAATAAGGGTTTTGAACAATTGAAACAACCAACTTCATTCTGGGGTTCTTCGCTCTAATAAACTCAAAAGAATTTTCAATGGCAAGATGGAAAGAGAGATAAGGTGGATACAAAAAAAAAACATGTCATTAACAAAAAGCAGTCCCTGGCTAAAGAACAATAAAGGAAAAACAAAACTACCATGGAACAACCAAGTGCATTATCTGTTCATCAGGATGCTAAGTACTGCCATACCTGTGCTTACACTAACAAGCTTATAACTGTGCAGGTATTACTACTCACAGACTTGGCATCAATGTAAACCTAGATTCTCAAATAAATCTCATATCATTATTGAGTTCATAGGGTCAAAACCCTCATATGAGAAGCTCTAAATGATGCTCTACTACAATATATTACAATCTTACCAAAAATAAATAAATAAATAAATAAATAAATAACTCGCTTGATATAAAGTTTCAAAATCTTATACCTAAATCAAATACAGCTGAAGTTTGACATTAGATGAAATCCATAGAGATCATGTAGTATGTACATCAATCCTCACAGTGGTGCTAATTAATTAATTGTGCCTAACATATATCAAGGAAACACATTAAAGGGGTGAGTCTCAAATCTCTAGTAATTTATGTTCTATTAATCAGACCAAATGCACAATTTCATGGAGCTGAACAGAGTCTAAATGTAGTGATGCTCTACTACATTATATTAAAGCATAAGAAAATTAAAGCCCTACTTGACCATCTTTAAAAAGAAAAAACAACTACTAATTAAGAAGCAACTAATTAAGAAGAGGTGGAGTTTTTGGAATCAGGCATTGTGCCTAGCCAAGCTGGTGGTAGCATCCCAGTCTGCTCATGAACTGTCTGGAACATTGGTGGCAACATTTTGTACACCCCGGCAATATCCTTCATCACGCCACCAGTACTGCCCTCACCGCCACCATTGGCCCCAGACCAAATGCTAATCTTGGGCTGCAGTCCACGAACGCCTTCAGCATTAATCTTGGCAATTTCTTGGAACATACCACCATTGATCATCATGTAATCTCTGACTGCTCCATAGTTTCCATTGAGTTCTTTGAGAAGGGTACTCAAGTAAGCGCCTTGAGCTTTTGCTATTGCAGTGATTCCTTCAGCTTCCTTCTGCTTTGCATAGAGTTCACCATCTGCAGCCTTCTGCTTTGCATAGAAGACGGCATCTGCATTTGCTTTCTGTGCCTCCGCTTGCTTCTGCTTCTCATAGAAAACTGCTTCTGCCGCTTTCTGTTTCTTGTACAACTCTGAATTTGCCCCTTGCACCTATATATTAATATTAAATATATATATTTAGCAACACAAAATTAAGAACACTGAAAGGACTATATATATATATATATATATCACTTGATAAGGGTTGCATATATAATATACCTGAATGTCATAGTCCACACTGGCCTTACTCAGCAACTCAGCCTTGAGTCTCTCCGTCCGAGTCAAAGCATTCTTTGTCTCCAACTCTTTCTGCAGCTCAGCCTCCCTTAAAGCCACTGCCTTCGCCGCCTCCACCTCTGCCAACTGCGCGTTCTTACCCCAATCTGCCTTCAATGCCGCCAACTTGGCGTTGGCCTCAGCCACATCAGCGTCCTTTTGGTTCTGAAATATCTGCACTTCACTCCTCACCCTGACTTCCTCCTTCTTACCCTCTCCTTGCCTCTGTGTAGATATAATCTTTGTCTCAGCGTCAATCTTAGCCGCATTCTGTGCTGTCAGCCCTCGTCGTTCCTTTGCACCAATCTCACCCTTCTTCGTCGCCTCCTCAACATCAATCTATAGGCAATTCCAACAATGAAATTGATATTAAAAACATAAAGTGCATGATGCCCGATGTAAAGCTAGATATTCATTGAAAAGATAAAACTAATACAAATATTTATTTTTTTATTTTGTAATAGTGAGAAAGAGGTTAGAAAATTAAATCTCACTTTTTGGGGCCTCTTGCAGTACTAGAATAACCTTGAAAACAATACTAAAAAAAAAAAGTTATTATTTCTTTCCTTTATCAGAAATTATCTTATCCACATTCTAGTCACCGTTATAATAGACTAATTTGATAAGCCAGGGAGCAAAAAAAGAAAGAAAATAAAATTGTTTAGCTTCTCATCATGATTGGATAATTAAAAAGAAGAAAATAAAATTGTTTAGCTTCTCATCATGATTGGATAATTAAAAAGAAGAAAAAGATAATAATAATCCTTGATTACTACGAATTCACTTTTTATAAAATATATGGATATAAAGGTACTCATTGCATCCCTCATCATTTCTGTCCAAATCCTTACAAGGAGATGCAAAAATCTCTCTTCCTTTTCTTTCATTCTTAATAATCAAACACATAATCAATCTTCCCCTTTTCTTTCTTTTCCTTCCAACACCTTATCTCTGTTCCATTGATCGACCATGTTAATAGTCCCAAAAGATTAGGACTATAGAAGAAAAATGGATATTAGATATCATCAATAATTTTCAGTTACTCACTTTACACAAGCCATTGATGATAAAAGATTGTAATTGACGGTCTTATGTGGCTAACCTACCTTTCTAGATTCAAAACCAGATTGTAATTGGCTGTCTTATGTGGCTAACCTACCTTTCTTGATTCAAAACCTCAACTGATTCCACATAATGAATACAAAGAAAGAAAAAGAGAGAAGAAGACAAAAAAGATGGAGAAGGGTGAGAAATAAAAAGAAGATAAGCAAGAAATGAAGTCATTTGATACAAGAAAATGAACCCATTTGTCATAAAAAAAAGCGGGTTATGACAGCCAAAGTTGATGCATGAGAGCATCAACTGATGGTCCATATAATTTGGTTTACTTTAAGCTAGAGTGCGTTCGGCTGCATGGAGTCCTTGGAATTGGAATTTGAGGAAAAAAATTAAAAAAATTGAACTAATTTTTTTTTCCAAATTCTAAGGCTCCAATTCCATGCAACTGAACACATCCTCGAAGAATTTCACCAATATGAAAATACCAGGTTTTTTTTTTTTTGTTTTTTTTGTTTTTCTGTGTACTTAGAAGTGGCAATATAAGACCATGACTATAAGATAAGTTTATAAGTTGTTTTTTGGTAAACTTAATTTGACATTAAATTCTAAAAAATAAGTGATTAATCAGTTGCATGGCAGAAATTCCATATTACTTACGTGAACAAAATAAAAAAAAAAAATAATAATAAAAACAAACACACAATTTGCATATCACTCAAAATAATAAGTTCCACCGAGAAGAGAAAATTTTAGGTGAAGGAGATTCATCTTGTAAGAAGAATACTCAAATAACGAGCCCTTAAAAGCCCTTACAACTGAAATAAGGATAAAAAAAATTCTGAACATTTGAAGTAACATCTAAAGCTTCTACTTAATAATTTTAATTTTCAACTTTAGTCCTATATATACATTCTACATCTTTCATTTCCGTCTCATGTAATCTTAATTTTCAATTTCCAGTCATATCCATCAGGCAAGTTGGGCAAGTTTTGAAACAAAAAATTAGGCTATGTAAAAAAAAATATAGGGATTGATTTCAAAAATAAAATGAAATGAAATAAAAATATTAAAAAATTAGGTATTGAACCACAGTAGACACAATATAATCTGATCTGTTCAGCAATAAACAATCAATTTTCAAATAAAATACATTAATTATCCAGTGCTTGTAAAGTAAACCTATAGCAACTCCAATAAAACCACAATTAAATAAAAGAACATAAATAAACAATATGCTGCATTCTGTAGTTTCCCACAGTAGACATAATATAATCTAATCTGTTGACCAATAAATAAACAATCAATTTTCAATTTCTTTTCAAATCAAATACAGTGTTTGTAAAGTAAAGCTCTAGCAACTCCAATAAAACCATAATTAAATCAAAGAACATAAATAAACAATATGCTACAGCAACAGAGATTAAGAAACCCTAACCCTAACAAAAGAGAATATACATATATATATACTGACCTTGGCTTGATTGGCAGCCTCCATCTGCGTTTTTTGGCCTAGGTAGGAGAAGTACTCGTGGCCTGGGACGTCCACGAGTTGTTTGACATTGGCGTTATAGATGCGAAGGCCAAACTGATCGAGTTCAAGCTGAACTTTATCAAAAACCTCTTGCTTGAATGATTTGGTGCCGCGGAAGATCTCTTCCATGGTCATGGAGGCGGCGAGGACGCGAGTCTCGCCCTCGATGACACCCTGAACGAGCTCTGTGACATGGTTGGAGTGCTTGTCATGGGGTGACATGAGCCTGGCATACTTCAACATGCTCTCATTACAGTCCACTTTGGGGCCGATGGTGAAGACCGCCGGAAGGATGAACGGAAGCTTTTCGGCGCTCATGGCCTGCACTTCGAACGTGTAGTTCACCGGAGTGAGGTCCACCTTGATCCACTTCTGGCCAGGCCATATCCATTTCTTCTTAGCAAGCCTGATGTCTGGTTCTGTGATGAAGGATCCGGTGACGGCAAGGAGCTCCGACGGACCAGCTGTGCGATACATCGTGTGGTGTTTGATCTGGTGGATCTAAGATCTACAGAGAGAAACTAAACTGTGTGTGTATGTGTGCGTGGGATGTGCGTGAGAGGATCGAAGAAACGAAATGTTGTTTACAGTCTTATACCCATTTGAATGAAAACCCCTAATAAGAAAAATAAAAGAGACTCCTCTTTGAGCTCGAATTAGAAATTATTATGATTGGAGAGCAAATGACACGGAAAATCAAAAATTGATTTAAATGTTATATTAATTTATTATATAATTGGGGACCACATAAAAATGGCGAGATTGACAAAAATTTCCATACTAGAGAAATTATATGATTTGAAATTATATAAAAATAATACCAAATTAAAAAAATTGGATAAATAAAGTTGGGAGTGATGGGGTGAAATGAGCTGGCATATTGGCATATATACCTCTCGATTATCCTTCACTCGCGAGGGTCATGGCTTGCAGTTGGAAGGCACGTAGAGTTCACCGGAGTTAAGTAGAGTTTGATGAAATATTTTTGGGCAGGCCATATCCACTTCTTCCCAGTGGCAATGGCCAGCATCTCAGAGGGACCACCTGTGCGGTACATCTCGTGTATAAACAACCGATCTAGAGAGAGAAACAAACTCCGGTGTATAGAGAGAGAGACTATGCATTTGTGCTTGAGAGAGAAAGAGAGAGATTATTTGTATACCTAAGTTGGCAAATCTTGAATGCAGCGGAACCCTAGGGAAAGAAGAAAGTTTCCTATTTGAGCTCTGCATCAGCTTTATTCGGCTTTCTTGTGGGGAATGCCTGTCATCTTCTGAGTGGTCTAATATAATTCCTAATTACAGTATCCTTGTTGAAAACCGTGCCATATTTTTTACATCGCAGATCCCATTGATGTGATTGAAGAATATTTGATCCATCCAAAATTATAAAATTACCATAATATGAAAAGAAAAAAAAAAATTAAAATAGTAATTAAGAGAAACAAATTATTGGTTGATTCTTGAGCTCTGTGATTGTGCAAATAAAATAGAGTAGTGATTCACATGCAAAAAGATTAGACCGATTTATTAGGCAAAATTTACTAGGCATGTATAAAAAGAGAAATTAATATGATAATCAAATAGTCTCACTAATATGTCCATTAACATAACATGAATTTTTAAAGATAAAATTACTATTATTTTAAGAGGTCGTCGTTTAAAAAACAACTATAATTAAAATTCTTTAAATTCCTTTTATATAATTTATCATAACACTATCTCTCTCTAAATAGATGTATAATAAATGTATATATATTTGGAAGCATAATGTAATTTAATTCCCATAATTTTGTTTTTAAAATTTTATCAAAACACTCTCCCTCTCATTTATAAATATATACATATATATATGTATAAGCGCACATAAAATAAATAAATAACAAGTTTTTTTAATTCTCATCATAACTCCAAAAAAATATAAGAAAAAAAAGGGTACACTGTAGAGCTGTTGCGTACGGTCAACACTCTTCTACACGAAACCAACAACCAACTGAATGGCCTAGTCGATCGAGTGACGAATCTAGAAAATCAGGTTCATCAACTTGAAGAGGAAAGAGAGAGCTAGACTGCCACCATGGAAAATGAACGAGTAGTCTCTCATGGTGACTTGATGGCGACGGTAATGGTGGTGACGCAAAAAATAACGGGGAAGAAAACCATCTCTCCAAGTACTATAAAGCACTATATTTGTGTATCATGGTTATTATCAGGAATCAATGATGGCAATGGAGAAAAGGGTGAAATAAGAAAATAAAGAATGGTTTAACTATGGGATAGAGATGATGATTAGAAATATTACTGGTAATTGAGATTTACTAATTGGGATTATGTAAGAATAGTTTTGTCTTTAAAATTTATCTTTTCTAAATGTAGTACAAGTATAGTGACATATCACTATCGACTTGAGTTTTGAGTCTATGTATTCCGTGCAAGTATTATATTCCAATAAAATATATATTTTTTTCATCCAGGCAAACGCATGTGATTGAAGAATATTGGATGGACCCAAAGTAACAAATTTGGCAACACAATTTCTAAAGAAAAATATAAAGATCAATGTGCATTGAATGAATTTTTTCTACAACTTCTTAGAAGTTAGGTGGGCAGGGAGACGCTGATGTTCATAGAGAACATTGAATGTATTCACACCATAACAAGTGAAAATTAATAAGGAGAAAGAAAGTGACAAAAAAACTCCTTAACTTAGAAGAAAAAGAAGAAGAAAAAGCTTTCTTTTTTCATCCCTTATTTTAAATGCGAAGACCAAATGATAAATTTTTTTTTTTTGCTTTAGTCGGGGCAAACCGGAACATCCCGATTATCATTTGGTCTTATTTATTTATTTATTTTTATCATACAGATTGATATGGGGCGTTTTGCAACATCCTAGAAACTTCCAAGTCACAATAGTGTTGACATATGCCTATACTTCACACTTCCACAGTAACAAAATCAAAACCACCCCAAAACCAAGCCAAAACACTGATGAAGCCTTCTTTAAACTAAGATCAAACATGCCAGCCATTTTACCTGTTCTTCCGAGTCTTGTATTTTGTCATCCTTCAGTTTTAAAGCCTTCTTCTCATCAGTAGAATTAAAAGAACTCACACTAACATAACGGGTAAGTAAGAAAAAAAAACAGAGGTTGTACTAGTTGGTCAAGTCTCTTAATGACTAAATGTTCTGAGATGTGTGGACAAAGTGTCCGACTAAATAAAAATTATTTTTAAATTATGAACACGGTCATAAAGTATTGGACACATGTCCAGGAGTATTTATAAAGTGTCTATGCTTCTTAGGTCGTAATGAGTTAATAACCACCATGGAGACCTTCAAATATAACACTTCTTCTCTATGATCTCTAAATGTAACAAACCTAGCTCCCAAGGTTTTCATAGTAGTATATCATGGACATTTCCCTATTTTAAAGAAAAAATTACACTTGAAACAGCTTCTAAATACAATTTTATCTGAAACTTGAACTTCTAGTAATCCCTAATTAGGGGCAAAAATGTTGTTTTTCTGTGTGTTGAAGTGGTAAAATCATAACAATGAGCAGGTAATTGATATGTCTCAAAAAGTAGGCCATCACATATCCTAAAAGCTCTAGAATTCCTGACACTAGGCTCACTAGCTACCATTAGTCTTGCCTAAGGCCATCCGCAGCGGGGCTCTTCAAAGCCCATTTTGGGCGAGCGACTGGAATGTGGAGGCTGCAGTGGGCTAGTTATAAGTGGTAAGGCCCATTAGCGATCGCGGGCCGGCTTGCGGTATTCAGCTAGCCGACCCGCGATCGCTGAATTTTTTTTTTTTTTTTCCTAATGCAAAATGGTGCCGCGATCCATGAATTTTTTTTTTTTTTTTTTTTTTTTTTTTTTTTTTTCCTAATGCAAAACAGCGCCATTTTGCAACAGGCAGTTTTGTTTTTTGTTTCAACAGTTCTGTACAGTAGCCAAACAATTGGCAGAATTTTTTTTTTTTAAAAAAACCTAAAAATAGGTTATTTAGAGCTCTTTTTTTGGGAAAAAAATGAAATAAAATTCACTAAATAAAAAATATATTGTTTAGGCATTGTTTGTCGAAAAAAAAAAAATTTTGGGCCAAAAATAAATTAAAAAACCTTTTTTTTTTTTTTTTTTGTTTTTTTCCCTTAAAATTTGTTTTTTTAATTTTTTTTTTGCTTTAAATTTTAAATGTGTAGGCCAAATAGTGTATTTGGCCGTTAAGACACTATTTCTACAGTACCAAACAGTGCCTTAACGGCTATAACTTTAAAAATTCAAATTTAACCTTTTTTTTTTCCCTTAAAATTTGGTTTTTTTGTTTTAATTTTTTTGCTTTAAATTTTAAATTTATAGGCCAAATAGTGTATTTGGCCGTTAAGGCACTGTTTCTACAGTACCAAACAGTGCCTTAACGGATATAATTTTAAAAAAAAGTTTAAAAATTCAAAAATTTTAACTTTATTCAAAAAAAAAAAAATTAAAATTTTAAAAATCTCTATAAATACCCCAACTCCTACTGTCACTCATCACATCTCTATTATCTACCATTCAACTTATTTCTTTTTCTATTTTCTCAATTTTAGCTATTATTTTCAAAGTAATTTCGATTTTACGGATCCTCGACATCCATTTTATTACAACACCCAATTCAACCCATCAAACGATGAGTTTTTGCCATTTCCCGAAGAGACTATCAATTTTTATGGAGGAGATTCTCAATTTCCTTCTCATCAACCATCCTAACCTTCTTATCAACCATCCCAAACTTCTCATCAATATTGTGGTACTAGTGTTCCATAATCAAGTAACTCAAAACCCCCGTCAAAACAACCGGCTATCTAACATAATAATTGGACCAAGGCTGAAGATGAAGCTTTATGTTGGGCGTGGTTGTCCATTACCTCTGATGCGATTACGGGGACAGACCAAAGTAAGAAGAAGTTATGGGATCGAATTCTGGAACAATATAAACAACATATTGGTGTTCCAACTGAGCGAAATAATGGAGGTTTAATGAATCGTTAGTCGGTGATCTAACAAAAAATCAGCAAATTTTCTGGCTGTATGACTACCATAGAAATGAATCGTCCCAGCGGCTTCAGCAGTGATGATATGGTGAGTTATTTATTGTTTAAATATAACTCGTAAATATTTTAAATAGTCGACTTTTAATTTTTTGTTATTTTTTTCGTATAGATGATAGTAGCTGAAGACGTGTTTCGTAGCCAAACAGGTGGTGAATTTAAGTTAGAAAGTTGCTGCGAGATCTTGAAGCATAACAATAAATGGAATTCACATTGTGCTGAATAATTAGGAAGAGGAAAAAAGAAAAAAGAGCTGAAGAAGAGAATTGGATTTGACTTTGACATTAATGAGTCTGTTTGGCACTCATTACCATCTACTCTGTCAAGTCATGCAGCCATGACATATGGAGCTTCAACTGAAGAATCACCACACATTGGGGAAAATG